TTTTGATGTTTTTCTTGAACAGCTTATTAATTGAGTGTACCTGCACCCCACACTTTAAATGAGCTTCAGAATATGCTTTTAAAATAGTGAGAGAATATCGAATAAGAATATTTTTCATGGGAGACCCTAGAAAATGGCAGCAGTCTTATAGGTTTGTGGAGGAAATACTCGTTATTGACGTCCTTAAATAGTGTGCCCAATGAACATTGCTTTTGCTTTTTTGAAAACTTTAATTTTTTTTCAGCTTCGTTTGTTGAATTTTTTTTCATTTTCTATTAAAATATATATTTTCTAGTTCTTTTTGGATAAAAATATTACAATAACCGTTGCATAACAACATCAAAGTATTGCAACCAAAATCGTACTTTATTTTGGACATTTTCGGATCTTAAAAAAAATACGGGTGACGCGTTTTTCGTGCCGCTAATTATTTAACTTTGCCTTTTTGTTGTTCTTTTGTAAGCAATGTTTCTTTAATTTTCTTATTTCGCTAAAGTTATAAATTAACGTGGTTTATCTTCCCTCTGTCCTCTGGTTGAGTGCCATCATGTATGATTTAACTCTTTTCTTTTTTGTGTTTAATAACACTTTTTAATAATGCGTTTGCATCTGTTAACATTTTAGTGTCAAAAAATATTCTGCTTCCACGAAGCAATGGAAGAATATAATACCACTTCTACAACATCTATCGAACTAACTATAAAACACTTTAAAACATGCAGCATCAAGTTGTTCATTATAAAAAATGGAAGCGATGAATTCAAAGAGCAAACAACTGTGATACCTCAAAATTCAACGAAAGAAATACTTCCAGCTGAATTACCAAGAAATGTTACCTTCTTGAAAAATCAAATCGTCCTCGATCTAAACAAATGCGACAATTTTACTGGACCACTGAATTATTCAATTGAACTTATATGCATAAGCGAGTGGTGTACAAATACATCCACTAAAGTTGGTCCATATCATTTACAAAACTACTCAACTAACATTACTAGAGATGTAAAAGGTTTATCACCTTTTACGGAATACAGCATCACCGTAACTGCGAAAAGAATTGGTCAGCATGACAAAAAACAAACTTATTTAACGAAGTCAATGCCGTCAGGTTGATGAGCATTTATCTCTTGAAAATTAACGAATTCATTATTTTTGTTTATTGCAGCACCACAACCAGTGAATATTTTACATTTATATTCTAGTGACGAAGACACTTTGTTTATAAGGTGGAAGGAACCCTTTCCACCAACAGGAAAAATAGAAGCGTACAATGTTACTCTCAGCGATAACACAACAATTCCTACTACAACGAATCGTACGTCTTCTTGCGAAATGTGGTCCGAATTTCAGTGCACAAATATAAGTCGGGAAAAGAAAGTTAGCGTTTACAAAGTGACGGTGAGTTTGTAAGAATCCTATAAGTTTAATTTAAAAAAAAAAAGTCAGTTTTAAAACAGTCATATATAAACTGACATAAGTTTGAAGCTGAGCCAAATAAACAAAACTGTCCTAGGTTCGAGCAAAAAACCACGAAGCTGCTGAATGGAATGAGTCCAGTTTTACTATAAATGTCGAAAATGGTTCGTTTGTTATTTGTGTAAACGTAATAAATTAATTTGATTTTACAGTAACTCAAGCACCTCAAAATTTGCGGATCGAATTAAGTCCACAATCAACGGACGAAGTGATACTCAGATGGGAGTACCCATATTACACATATGGAAAAATTGAAAAATTCCGTACAGTACTAAACAGTAGTAGTGGGACAGAAAATGATACGATCCAAGTTTCCAATGAGATAAACTATAACAAAACTGTATAATACTCTACATTTCTTCTACACCAGTCAACAACGTGCTTGTTTCAGATTAAAATCAAGTATGGTAATAGATACAACTTCACTGCTTGGGCACAAAACGCTCATGATGGTGAGAAAGTAACGATTTATTTCGTAGTCTCTAAACCCATTTCTAAATTGTCAAACGAAACTTTTATATTATGGTGTAGACAAGATTGTTATTTAGTAAAATCAAAATCAAAATCACAAGTAAATACGAATTATAACATTACAATAAAACAACATAATGAAATCACAGAGGAACATGAAACGAAAGGATTAATTTCTCTTTCGAAAGATAAAATTTCATGCACGGAAAATAACCCACCATGCGACATCCACTCAAAGTTCCAAGACGTGGCAAGTCAATCTTATTTTCTAAAAATAGACCGTGAAGAAATTCTTATCGAATTTACAGCGCCTGAAGAAAGCAAGATTACATCAAAAACAAATATTATTATTGTAGTTACGCTAAGTTTAATTCTCCTCGTTGCTTTCCTTCCAGGGTTAATATACTACAGGTTAGTGCACTCGCTACAAGTTTAAAATTTTTGCTACATATTAACGCTGTAGATACAAACTTAAATCTACAGTTATAGAAGACACACAAATTATTGCACTTAACGAAAAGGAAACACTAATTGACAAAACTGACCCAAACGACGTGTCTTTTCCATCAGTCCAAATTAATGAATTTGAAAATTACCTCTTCATGTCGTTGCGACAAGATGCACATCAAAATATATTAATACGACAGTTTCAGGTATACGAGAAAATAGTTACTACGAATTCAACAATTACGCTTTTAGGAACTGCCAAAAACAAGAGCTGCAGATTGTATCCATGGTCGATTAAGCAAAAACGCCAGTAAAAACCATTACGAACATATCTTACCATGTAAGCAAAAGTTAAGTAACGTCACACCCATACTTCTTTCTGATTTTCCAGATGACGATACGAGAGTGATTTTGAAAGATAACGAAAACGGAGACTACATAAATGCAAATTACATTGACGTAAGTAATGTTTGGCTGTAAACAATTTAAATAACACATTTCAAAGGGCTACGAAAAACCGAAAAGATATATCGCCACCCAAACTCCTTTAACATGTACCGTGCACGACTTTTGGTCCATGGTATGCCAAGAAAATGTAAAAATTATAGTTATGTTGTGCAAGCTCGAAGACAATGAATGTACTAAATGCGAAAAGTATTGGCCCGACGATTTTTCTCACTTTAGATTTGGAATGTTCTTGATAGAAAATGTTTCTGTAAAGAAAAACGGAAGTTATATTCATCGAACACTTGAGGTGAAATGGAATAATAACACTCGTACAGTTCATCAGTTTCAGTACCTGTCCTGGACCCTTAAAGGAGTACCGTCATCTCCTAAAAATTTTACCTTCTTTGTGAAACAATTAATCGAACTGAGCAATGAGTATCCTGTTGTCGTCCACAGCGAGTAAGTAGTTTTAAAAGTCTGAAAGTTGTTTAACGATAATTACTTAGAGAAGGATGTGGAAGAACAGGAATATACATTTTGTGCGATATCATCTTAAGAATGAGCATTGAAGAAAAGAAGGTCGATTTTTTTAAAACGCTAGAGAAGATGAGAAACCAAAGAGGGGGTTTAGTGAGTAATTTGGATCAGTATATTTTCAGTCACTTCGTCTTGGTGGAATATTATTTTGGGAAAAACTATTCTTCTTCGAACAAACCGAGTGATTTTGTGGTGAAAATTCAAGAAGCTATGCAAGAAAGTGCTATAAAGCGATTTGTCGATCGCTTGGACAAAGCTACGGAGCACTGCCGTACGATTTCTCTAGGTGGGTACAGTAAATTTCAGTGCTTATTCAAACAATGCAACATTTTCCGTTTTGTATAGATGACACGTTTAACAACATCAGAGTTATCGCTGTGGACTGCTTCAATTACCCCGCAAGATTCATCGTAACACAAGAACCTTCAACAAATAATTTATGCAGTTTTTGGAACCTAGTCATAAGCAATGAAGTCGAAATAGTAATATGGTTAAACGGAATAGAGGACAACGACGAGGTAAATATTTATATATTCCTAAGCATTACTAAATACTACACACGATCATCCAAGGAGTATTCAAGTTTCTGGCCTAAGGACACTCTCCGCTGGTCTCTCAACGAATCAAATAAACTCGATATTGTATGGCACGAAAACACTAACGACACATATAACACAATCACTATCAAAATCGACACAACTGGTAAGTCTGAAGAAAAATTCGTTAAAATTTTATACGTTAAAACCTGGGAACGTACAAGTGCTACGCCTTCGAACACGAAAGGAATAATCGACGTTTGCGATAAAATTGTGCCGTATAATGGGCAAATTGTTGTCACGTGCTGGTAAGTAAAATATTGACGTTTGATCGTTATTTATATCATTGTTAACATTGAAGCGATGGAACAACAGCCAGTGGCCTTTTTGTAGCCTTGGCCTTTTTGTTGGAAAAAATTAACACACACCGGTGTTGCAACGTTTTTGAGGCCGCGAAGACCGTCAAACAAAACTGTGCTCAGTTTTTAAAAAATCCTGTAAGTTCTTTGACTTTGTACTTTCCAATTTTTGTGATTTCTGTTTTAGGAACAAATTAAATATCTGTATGAAGCAGCGTTGGAATATGTTCGAAAATTTAATATTTATGAAGTCGTAGTTTAAATCAGTTAAATTACTTAATATTGAATTCATTTATTTGTTTATAGAGAAAAGTACAAATGTAGGTTAAGTTCAATTTAATAGTGAAAAAAATGTAATACAAATAATTTTATAACGACTAATAAAGACCATACAGGTTTATTCCTTTGAAATTACAACAATATATTTAGTTTGTTATTATTATTTACGTAACAGTAGGAAAACATTAGACAATAAGAAAGAACCTAACTGATAACAAATTTTAATATTTCTTTCTGAAGATTGGACCTAAAAGTAGGCACATTGACAACAAGCACATTTTTTTTATGAATTTTAATCGAAAGATTTTAAGTGAGTCACCGAAACTAACTTAAATAAATATTGACTTAAAAAATATGTGCGTCTATAAATTGCTACCTAAAATACACTGAAATGTATGATCATATTTTTATCGCATAGAAAAACATCGACTTTAAAATTTGAGATACGTTTTTTTTTGTAAACAGTGTGCTGTTTAAATGTGATATGACTCATTATATATTTACTATTGATTTTTTTACTCGTAGGTCTTTCTTTAGTCGATTATCGAAAATTTTTCATTCTACTCAGATCATAGTGCGGCTAGAAAGAAAATGAAGTTATTTTTGTACAATTATGTTTTCGCGAGTGTGTTAATTTCAGCCGAAGTGATAACATTAATTAAAGATAGTACTATTACGTGTGTTTTAACAGGCGATTCTGTTAACTCCACTATATACATAAAAACTAAAGATAACCCTGTAGAACTTAAACGAATAATCGAAGAAATAACCAACATACATGACGATGATTGGCACCGAACAAATTGGAGTGCTGACTTTCGGCCAGTACTTGATCAACGTTGGACAAGTGAGTAAAGCACACAACAAAAGGAGATTTCTATTCTATAGCGTTTCTCAGCTTTTAGTGCAGACATTAAAGATCTGACAATTAACAACCGATTCTCACTGTGTTTAAAACAACATTCGACAAATATTTTCAGTTACATTCCATACATACCCTTTATAAAAATACTAAATGTGAGTATGTGACAAAAACGCATTTCTTAAATTCACTAATTTTCCGCTGATAAAGTTGCACACCGCTTGCCAGTGGGGACACTACGAAATAATGAAAAATCGTACACATGTGAATCTAGTCAACACTGAAAACAACAATGTTGTTAATGAAAAAAAACTGGATTTTGATCTGGCAAGCCGAACATTTTCTCCAGACAATTTAAATATTAAATTACATAAATGTAAGAACTTGATCCTAAGATAACAATCACATAACAGCTATATTTTGCAGATGAATTTAGATACTCTACAACAACTAGCACAAAACCATCATACATTAACATAACATCTTTGAGTTGCGTCTCTTTCTATGTTTCTGTTGATGAAGGATGTTATCTGAAAATTTCGGTACGACCAGAAAACAGCATTAAAAACATAACTGGATTTAACGAAAAGACCAAATTAAAACAGTGGAAAAAATACGAAATAAGGACTGATCCTAAAGCAATTAATCAAACACTTTCGGTTGACAGAGGACGATACGACGACCGTATGGAAGGTTACTGGGCAATCGATGATATACACAGTTGTAGTTCCGAAATAGGTAGATATTTTTACTAAATCAAACTAAACCCCGCTTCGAATACTTTCATCTCGAAATACGTGAGTATAAACCTTAGCTACAAAATGATTTTCAGTTACTTATCGAACCGACTTGAATACACCCTGGACTAACCAGATTTGTGCAGAATTAAACTCAACTGGCTCTGTAAGTGAATTTTGTGACAATGCCACTCTAGGAAAACAGTGTCACATTAAATGCGATGCAGTTTTTGGGACGTTATATCCCAACTGTGAGAGCCATCGAATTTGCGTGTCACAAAATAAATGTCACTGTGCCTGGGGTTTCAAGGGAGAAAACTGTACCGAAGGTGTTACGTAAACAACTGAAAACTGTTAAAATAACTATTTCTTATTTTAGAATGCGGAGAAGATTCTTGGGGATTAGATTGTTTGAAAAATTGTACTAACTGCGAAAAATGTGATAAGAAAACCGGATGTCAAAAATGTAAGCCACAGTACTTCGGGGAACACTGTGAGTATAAATTTACCGTCGTGAAAAAGCCACCTATTTTAGAACCTAGTGACGACGAGTCGATAAAAATTTTAACAAATATTGAATATGGACAAGACGAAGGGAAGGCAGAACATTATTATATTCAGTGGAGAAAGGTATACATTTAAGTAAGTTGTTGCTGGTTTTTATGTAATGTTGCTAGCTTGAGAGCAACGATGGGTTTCAAAATTACACAGACGAGCAATTCCCCATTTCAAAAAATAATGAATCGTTCTCATTAAATTTTTCGCGGGATGATTCTTATCAGTTTAGAATACTATTGGTTAGCCATAATTCATCATTTCAACAAGGTACCATCCCGGAGTTAACAGTATACAAAAGTAAGTAATTAATATAATAATACAATACAGGGTGTTTTTGAAAGGTATGTAAAAAAAGTAACGGGAAATTGGACATGAGGACACATGTCAAACTTAAAATCACCTCAAATCAATTTTTTGTTTTTGAGACAAAATTCGCAAAAAATGGATCAAAATTGGGCATGCGCCACTGATTTATGGCAATTCGTTGTTTGTTAAGCAACACTTGCGGCGGGCTAACTTTACTTCCAGGTAAAGAACAATAATCGTAGTTCGGCAACAGAAAGAATCATTTTTGACGTCTTTTCGCCGAAATGCATTCAAAGAAGTTTTCTTGAAAAATGCGAAGTTATACAAATGCCGAAATGACCGACATGGTCTTAATGTATGGGAGAACATTTGGAAACGGTCTTGAAACTCGACGTCTCTACGGTCGGAATTTACCAGATCATGGAACTTTCAATGCCGTTGTTCAGCACCTTGCACTTTATTCATATTTGTCACTGGTGCAACAAAAGTATGGTGTATGGGTATTTTTTTATGAGAATGATGCAATGAACAAAGTTTTGTATAGCTTTCCAAGATGGTCGAATATACCAATTTTTTTGCATATTTTTAAAAACACCCTGTAGTCAAAACTTTAAAAAGACAATTTTAGAATCTTTGACTGCACATGTGGAAGACGATGACACGATCGTATTAAACTGGACTAGACATGAAACTAATACGTACAAAATAACACACAAGGTATAAACATCGACAATATTATATTGAATTCTGTTTCCTCTCTGTCAAACCCCTACAACGTTTCAGAAATTCTGCACTATATTTAGAACACTTCCTTTAAGAAATTCTTTGCTTTTTACTATCCCTATCTTTCTTTAGATTCCAAATTTGCGTATCTCTGTATTGATAAATGTACCAGTGTTTGTAAAGTAAACATTCTGTTTCGTTGATATCCACACCGACCGGCATGAAAAACAGACCAGTTAATAGTAGTACAGTGCTTCGACCTTTTTACTGCGCTTTATTTTGATATTGTTTCTTGAACAGCATATTAACTGAGTGTTCCCGCACCCCACACTTTAGATGAACTTCAGAATATGCTTTTAAAGGAATGAGAGAATATCCAATAAGAATAAATAAACAACTTATTTCATGGGAGACCCTAGAGAATGGCAGCAGTCTTATTGGTTCGTGGGTGAAATACTCGTTATTGACGTCCTAAAACAGTGTGCCCAAGCATCAGTGCTTTTGTTTTTTCGACAACTTTTTTTTTTCTCAGCTTTGTTTATTAATTTTTTTTCAATTTCTGTTAAAATATATATTTTCTAATTCTTTTAGGATAAAAATATTACAATAAACGTTGCATAACAACATCAAAGTTTTGCAACCGAAATCGTACTATATTTTGCACATTTTTGTATCTTAAAAAAAAAAATACGGGTGACCCGTTTTTCATGCCGCTAAGTGTAGGTATATTCAAAACCATAATTTTTATTCGTCTTTTTCTGGGTAACTTGCTGTATTACCTTTTGTAATTATTTAATTTTGCCTTTTTTTTTGTTCTTTTGAAAGCAATGTTTTTTTGGTTTTCTTAGTGGGCTAAAGTTATAAACTAACGTTGTTTATCTTCTATTTGCCCTCTCCTTAGATGCCATCATGTATGATTTAACTCGTTCCTTTTTTGTATTTCATTAGTTCATTACACTTTTTAATAAAATTATGCGTTTATATTTTTAGTGTAAAAAATCATTCTGCATCGACGAAGCAGAGGAAGAATATAACAACACCACGTCTCCAACAACTATTGCACTGACTATAAAACACTTTAAAATATGCAGCATCAAGTTGTTCATTATAAAAGATGGAAGTGATGAATTCAAAGAACAAACAACTGTGACGAAGGAAATACTTGCCGCCGAATTACCAAGAAATGTTACCTTCTTGAAAAATCAAATCGTCCTCCAATTAAACAACTGCACCAATTTTACTGGACCATTGAAATATTCAATTGAACTTGTATGCGTAAGCGAGTGGTGTACAAATGAATCAACGAAAATTGATACGTACCATTTACTAAAGTACTCAACTAACATTACTAGAGATGTAAAACATTTATTACCTTTTACGGAATACAACATCACAGTAATTGCGAACAGGACTGATCAGCATGACAAAAAACAAACTTATTTAAAGAAGTCAATGCCATCAGGTGGATGAGCATTTGTCTCTTTAGAATTAACGAATGTATTATTTTTTTATATTGCAGCACCACAACAAGTGAATTCTTTACATTTATATTCTAGTGACGAAGACACTTTATTTATAAGATGGAAGGAACCCTTTCCACCAACAGGAGAAATAGAAGCGTACAATTTTACTCTCAGCGATAACACGTCAATTCTTACTACAACGAATCGTACGTCTTCTTGCGAAATGTGGCCCGAATTTCAGTGCACAAATATAAGTCGGGAAAAGAAAGTTAGCGTTTACAAAGTGACGGTGAGTTTGTAAGAATCTTATAAGATTAATTAAAAAAAAAAGTCAGTTTTAAAACAGTCATATATAAACTGACATAAGTTTGAAGCTGAGCCAAATAAACAAAACTGTCCTAGGTTGGAGCAAAAAACTACGAAGTTGCTGACTGGAGTGAGTCCAATTTTACTATAAATGTCAAAAATGGTTCGTTTTTTATCTGTGTAAACGTAATAAATCAATTTGATTTTACAGTAACTCAAGCACCTCAAAATTTGAGTATCGAATTAAGTCCACAATCAACGAACGAAGTGATACTCAGATGGGAGTACCCACTTAACACAAAAATTGAAAAATTCCGTACAGTACTACACAACAGCAGCGGGACAGAAAATGATACGATCCAAGTTTCCAATGAGATAAACTATAACAAAACTGTATAATACTCTACATTTCTTCATCACCAGTCAACAACGTGATTGTTTCAGATTAAAATCAAGTATGGTAATAAATACAACTTCACTGCTTGGGCACAAGGCGCTCATGATGGTGAAAAAGCAACGATTTATTTCGTAATCTCTAAACCCATTCCTAAATTATCGAATCAAGTTTTTATATTATGGTGTAGAGAAGAATGTTGTTTAGTAAAACCAAAACCAAAATCACAAGTAAATACGAATTACAACATTACAATAAAACTACAGAATGGAACCAAAGAGGAGCACGAAGCGAAAGGATTAATTTCTCTTTCGAAAGATAAAATTCCATGCATGGCAAATAACGCATCATGTGACATCCACTCAAAGTTCCAAGACGTGGCAAATCAATTTTATTTTCTAAAAATAGACCGTGACGAAATTCCTATCGAATTTACAGCGATTGAAGAAATTCGTACCAAATTTACAGCGATTGAAGAAATTTCTACCGAAGTTACAGCGACTGAAGAAATTAAGAAAACAAATATTACTATTATTATTGTGGCAGTTGTACTAAGTGTAACGCTTCTTGTTGCCTTCTTTCTAGGATTCATGTTCTACAGGTTAGTTTACTTAAGACCCAGTAAAAATAGTTACCTATTTATGTGGTTACAGGAGAAAAAGCCAAGAACATAAACCGAAAAAATTAAAAAACATGCCAAGCGTAAAATTCTCAGACCTTAAAGAAAAAGAAGCACTAATGGCCAACAACAACGAAAGCGATCCTTCTTTCGAACCTGTCAAGATCAACCACTTTGCGAATTTCTTCTCAACTGCGCTCGACGATGACCCAGATGACAACATAATAACACGACAATTCGAGGTCAGCTTAAAACCATTCGTTGCGTTCTTAAAAACAACCCTTTTCAGGCGGTACCTAGAGCAAGGGTTACAAATTGTCAACAAGGCCAGTTATACGAAAACGCTAACAAAAACCGCTACAACAATGTCTTGCCATGTAAGAATTGTTTAAAACATTTACTTCCTCTTGTCTTGTTAAAGCTCTTTTACTGTCGTCTGAACTAACTCGGTAAATTATCCTTTACACGCACCCTGCCTGTAAAGCGTTACCGTGGCAGCTTTACAGGCACCTTGCCTGTAAAACGTTATCATGACAGCACCGGAATCAAACACACATTCGCTGCGTCGGCCTTTTTCTTAATCTCACTAATACTGTGCTAATACTAACGTTAAAATCACCTTCAAACTCTTCATCTTCATCGAATTCCACAATTAACAGAGCTCAGAAACAAAATTAAACTATTTAAATTATTAATCGAATTTACAAATTGACAGTCCCGTTATTTTCAAACAATTCAATTTTCCATAGTTACCGGAGCAAACTATGAAAAATAACTACAATTTCTATGACTGTAATTTCAAGTAAAATTTCTAGAGACGATGCCAAAGTTGTTCATTTTCAGGATTTTCAGCAAGAGGAAGTAAAACGTTGTACGCGGCTCGCTTGCAACTAGCCTTTACTGGGGCTCACCGGATTACAGGACTCGCTCCTACGTCGCTCGCCCTGCAAACATTCCGGCTCGCCCGTAAAGGCTAATTTACTAAGCTTGCCACGTAAATAACTATTACTTATCTAACCACTTTTTCGTTTCTAGATGACGAGACTAGAGTAATTTTGCAAGGAAACAGCGAGGGAGACTACATCAATGCAAACTACGTCGACGTAAGTATCTCTTTGACGAGACTTCGACCTGATTAAAATTGTCTAGGGTTACGACGTCCCAAAAGCCTTCATTGCCACTCAAGCCCCTTTGACGTCCACCGTGCACGATTTTTGGTACATGATCTGGCAAGAGAATGTCAAAATCATAGTAATGTTGACTGAAATCGAAGAAAACGGGCGTGTCAAGAGTGAAAAATATTGGCCAGAAGATAACTCTCGTTTCAGGTTTGGAGATTTCGTCGTTGAGAGTGTTACTCGAAAATCGACTTCGCACTACATCCATCGGGAGTTTCAAGTAATATTTAATAAACAAAGTCGTTTGGTTGACCACTTCCAATACACAGCCTGGCCCGACCACGGAGTACCATTGTACGTTTCGGAGTTTGTTGCATTCGTGAAAAATGTATTGAAAATGGAACAGAACACTCCCGTAGTCGTACACTGCAAGTAAGTCAAAAAATTTCTAACACTGTATATGACTTTAAAATATATCCAGTGCAGGGTGTGGCAGGTCGGGTACTTTCATTCTATGCGACATTCTCATTAAAATGGGTACGAAAGAAAAGCAGTTGGACTTTTTTGGGGTTTTGAAGCGAATAAGAGACCAAAGGGCTGGTCTGGTGAGCAACATAGAACAGTACATTTTTTCGCATCAAGTCATATTAGAGTACTTCTTCGGAGAAGACTTTTCTATTTCCATTAGTAATAATTTTGAAGAGGAGGTACAAAACGCTTTAATTGACTTCAACATAAAACACATGCTCAAATGTCTGACACGAAACAAGAGACCTCAATTTAAAACAACCGCGCAACTCACCGACGAAGAAAAATCCAAAAATCGGTTCTCTAAAATCTTGCCGGGTGAGTATAACACGAAAAGACTCTTACGAGTCGAAAATAAACGCATTTCTTCATTCGCATAGGCCCTACCCAAATTTATTTGCCAATATCTTCGCGCGATTCCTCCAACTACATCAACGCTGTAACCGTGGACGCCTACCAATGTCCCAAAAAATTCATCGTGACGCAACAACCCCTACCCAACACTGTTGGAGACTTCTGGAAACTAGTTCATGAATACGAAATCGACACAATCTTGTCTTTGAACACAATTAACGACAAAGACGTGGTAACATCTCTAAATTTAGTCCGACTTCAAACACTACGTTATCGTATTCCAGGGTTGCCCGAAATTTTGGCCCAACGAGAACGAAGGTAGTTGGACCTTCAATTCGATGAAATTAGTTTTCTTCAATCAAGAAACTGACAACCCTTCATACAACTTAGTGCGACTCAAAGTACGGAAAACGACGGAAGACAAAACAAAGAACGTCATTGTAATAGACCTGAAAAATTGGAGACGGAAAACACTTAAGCCTTCGAATATTAAGGATTTAATTCATGTTTGGCAGAAGATTATGACGTGTAAAGGGAAAATTGTTGTCAGTTGCTAGTAAGTCGAGGCAGTAGTGTGATTAGTTTTTTTATTGTGTTGAATTTCAGCGACGGGGCAACTGCTAGCGGACTTTTCGTGGCGTTGGCGTTTGTGCTCGAAAAAATTAATTTAGATAATTGTTGCGACGTTTTTACTGCCGTTAGAACCGTGAAACAAAGTCGGGCACAGTTCGTCGAACACACTGTGAGTGACTAGTTTCGATTTTTTGATTTTGTGGTAATTTTTTTTTTCCAGGAACAACTGAGATATTTATATCAGGTCGCTCTTGAGTATATACGGGAATTTAACACTTACCAGAATTTTACCTGATCGAACTGGTTTGCTACAGTGTTTTTTTATACGCGATAGATATAAATCTCCATTTTTAGTAACTTGAAATGTAACTGCTTACTAAATATAGAAAATATATGTTATTCTGTGTTGATTTTCAATTCATCATAGACATATGGTATTTCATCACTTCTTCATGCAGGTTCTATCCGAATTCCACAATTCCCAGCACTCAGAAAGTACAAACGGATTCTTAACATTATAGACGACATAAATAAAAACAGTGACTCGAAGCCCATGTTAGTATTTTGATCAGTTTTTAACCAGTCTTGAAAATGTTGAATTCATACAAATGGGACTAAAATTCATCGTAATGTTGAAAACATTGCATTATCGGATTAGTTAGAGCAGATAAATTGTATAAATACTGTTGGAAATGAACAGAATTTCTTAGTTTCGTCTGAACTTTTCAAGTTAGACTACGCTTGTGTTTTGTGTTTGTGTTTTTGTTTGTGTGTTTGTGTTTCAACATCTTTAATTTCACTATGGGAAATCATAGTTTTAAAAAAAAGTCTCTTAGTGTAAGCAGAAAAAGCCGAAAAGTAATTTCAAAGAATATTTGGAGGTACCTAAATTTAATCTTTGAATAAAGTTAAATTATGCAACTTGACAAAATTTTTGCCTGAGTCAAAATAAATTATGTTTTTATTATACAGTGCCTTTTTTTTCTTTTATTTTATATTCTGCCAATTTTCACGTGAAAATTTCTGGTTGAAAACTTATTAACACAATTCAAAGTCTTTATCTCGTAAATCCCTATGGGCAGAATTAAGAAAATGCACTGTATGAATAACTAAGGTAATTACACTTGTTACGTTATACGTATTGTTTTATTTAAATATATTGGTTAGAATGAAGACCGCATCTCCAAGAATTCAAAGAAACCTATCTCAATTGAGTGAAACAAAAAAACAATCTGAAAATAACGAGGTAGATGTAGATGTAGATGTAGAAACAGAACAGAAGCGCACTTCATGTAGTAATAATGTAAAAGGTACACCTTTTATTGCTACTGGTAGAAGAATTGTTTCAATTTTATATTTATTTGAGCAAATAAGTATATAGAAAAACTTTGCCATCAAGGATTTGACTGTACGTTCAAAAATGTGCAAATATCTTCTGAACAACGAATAGGATTAGAAAGCATTTTTTTTTTAAATGTGAAGTTTGCGGAATAACTGAAAAAATTTATACTGAACCGGAAATAAATGAATTAAATGTGCTTGCGGTTTCTGGCTGCGTTTCTACTGGCAATGATTACGCACAAACAAATGAACTTTTCTCTTCTATGGATGTACCATTTATGGCTCCTGATACTTTCCAGAAGCATCATCAAACAGTATTCCAAAGTATAGAGGAAAGCTCTTGGGGAACAATGATAGAAGTAGCAAGAGAAGAAGCTCGATTAGCAGTAGAATATGGTGATGTCAATGAAAATGGAATACCGATTATTGCTATAACAGGAGATGGTGCGTATAGTATAAATTATGACGCGTCTTCAGGTGTTGCATCAATTATTGGAATAAACACAAAAAAAAAATTGTTTGCAGGGGTACGTAATAAATATTGCAACTTTGAAATGATGACACTTTGAAAAGAAATCATATATTTATGTCTTAAAAATTATAAAGGCACTTCTACCGCAGACGGGTTTAGGAAATCAGTTTCTATGTATGGCCTAATTTATGGCAAAATAATAGCCTACGGACACAGCAGTGTCTACCATAAATTACTGTCATCATCTCTGTATGGCCCACAATTTCATATTCAAAAAATTGAATGTAAAAATCATATTATTCGCAATTACTTATCCAAATTAACGGAACTAAAAAATAATACCAAATTATATAAAAAGGCAACGAGACATTCAAAGCGCTAAAATAGAAAAGTTGCGCGTGGCGGTGAACTCATCTATTTCATTTTGGACAGAAAATAAAAATCATTCATTCGAAGAAACAAACAGAAGTTACAAAAAGAAACGAAAATGGTCCCAGGCATACGTTTAGAGATCACACTTTTTGTAATATTAGTGAACATTCTTTTTGTACTGAAGAATCTGTAAAAAAAGCGGAGGCTGGAGAACAAAATCTTGTCCCACTGTTGACTTGATTGATTGATTTTTTGGCCGTGGAGTTTATGTTACCAACAACTTATCGGAATGTTATAATTCTGTAATCAATCAGTTTGTTGGCGGCAAAAGGGTGAATTTTTCTTTAAAGGGTGGCTACACGATCAGCTCCAGAAAGCTTTTGATTAGACAGATATTTTTTTTTCTGATTGATAAATTTAAATATTTTGGTTTTTCAGATTTTCTTATTAGTTATTTCATTCATACCTATTTAACCGTGTCCAATATGTCAAATATCGAAATCATAAGTCTCACACTTTTAAACCAAATTCTGGAGTGCCTCAGGGCTCCAATCAATCTGGGACCTTTGTTATTCTTGAATTTTATCAACGACCTGGCGTTGACTCAATAGATGATTGCGTAAGTTTACAGAGGAATGTTACAAATGTGTTGAACTGTGTTACGTTTGAAAAGCAGCATGTGGGCTAAATCTGTGGATCTGTGGACTGCTTTAATTTTCGCAGAAGATTCATTGTAACAGAAGAACCTTCACCAAATACTATACGCAGTTTCTGGAATCTAGTTATAAGCCACGAAGTCGAGGTAGTAGTATGGTCAAATGGAAAAAATCACAACTACGAGGTAAACATATATAGTGCCTTTTTGTAGTATTGGTTTCATTGTTGGAGGAAATTAATAAGCATTGTTCTTGCGACATTTTTGAGGCCGCCTAGACCGCCAAACAAGGCTGCGCTGAGTTTTTAAAAAATCCTGTAAGTTTATACGTTAGTGATTTCTGTTTTAGGAACAAATTAGATTTCTTTATGAAGCAGCATATAATATTTATGAAGCCGTACTTTAAATCGATTAAATTAATATTGAATTAATTTATTTGTTCATAGTGAAGAGTAGGTTAAGTTAAATGTAACAATAAGAAAAATGTAATGCAAATAATTGTCTAACAACTCATAAAGACCATACAAATTTATTCATTTCAAATTACAACAATATTATTGACTTAAAAAATATGTGCGTCTATAAATTGCTATCCACTACACTAAAATGTGTGATCAATTAATCATATCTTTTATCGCGTAGAGCGTAGATAAACATCGCCCTTACCCAGAAATGGTATGAGGGAACAACGAGTAACTGTAAAAAATTTATCATGCTAGCGCTTTTTTGCACACTGTACAGTGTGATTTGACTCATTATATAAGGCGTGTGACGATAAAAATCGGTAAAATTCAAAGTTACGCAACGGCTTTATATGAAAAGGTATAATACTAATTTTTGTTTTATTTGAAAGACTGTTTTTTGAAGTTAGATTCTATAGTAAACAACGATATCAGTTAAGCTCCGTCCCATTGTTTTCTAATCTTCTTTCTAATATCTTTCATAATGTTTCTGACAGTGTCATTTTCAATATTCTTGGTTGCTCCAGTCCAGTTTAAGACAAAATCTTTTTCATCTTTCGCTGTTTTTTGAGTTGTTTTCAGTTTCTTTTTAGCTATAGACCAATATCTTTCGATCAATACCATGCTCTTCTAAGGTAGCAATCGTCGCCCTGGCATAATGAGAAGTGGCCAAATCTGGCCGAAACATCGTTGCACCATTCTGTTTTTGAATGAAGGTGTAGGTAAGCAGAGAAAAATGTTGTGCCTCGGTGGGAGTCGAACCCACGTCTCTATGCTTTCCGGGCAAGTAACTTTACCCTGGACCACGAAACCACTTAGGGTACCAATCTTTTTTTTTAAACATACTTTAATATATACTTCTGCCGAAATAGTTCCTTTAGTAACAAATTATGAAAACCTCAAACCGCACTGACAAATGGCCTGCCATACCAAGTATTTAGTACCAAATTTGTCCATAGCAATGGAAGTCTCAGATTCTGAAAGAATTTCTCCTTCAAATGGTGTATAATAACTAGGCCCTGGCAATGTCGTCCGTTTTGACATACGTTTCGTCATCCAAAACGAGACAACAATTTTTTTAACAAATTAATAAGTACAGCTTACGGGCTCTAGTTTTAATTACTTTACGCTGTTTTCCCGACACTTTTGGTATTTTTTGTTTCTTACGAGTTTTCATACTCGCACGCTGTTTAGCTCTTTGCACCATACCTTCGTTCGTACGGCATTTTTTTGCCACATCCCTAACAGACATGCTGCGATTCTTGCAGATGGTTTTAACAATTGTTTTTTATCCATTTGTCAATTATTTTTTTCCTACGCTCTAATTCACACATTATTTTCAAAAGAAATATCAACAATGTGATTGAGCTGGTATCACGAATTAATATTTTGAATATTTAGCATTGTTGCTATGGCAACTCCGCAACAAATAAGCAAAAGAACAGCCTGCTATGATGTTTTGAAATTTACAGTTTTTGATCATAACACTCCTTATTTAATTTTTCTAATTCTACTCAGATCATAGTGAATGGAAGAAAATGAAGTTACTTTTGTACAATTATGTTTTCGCGAGTGTGTTAATTTCAGCCGAAGTGTTAACATTAATTAAAGATAAGAGTATCACGTGTGTTTTAACAGATAATTCTGTTAACTCCACTATATACGTAATAAATTCCGATGACCTTGTAAAACTTGAACGGACAATTCATGAAATAACCACTATATATGACGATGATTGGCAATGGAGTAAGTTGAGTGTTAACTTTCGGCCAGTACTTGACCAACGTTGGACAAGTAAGTAAATCACACAACGAAAGGAGATTTCCTTAGCGTTTCTCAGATTTTAGGCCAGACACTACAGGTGTCAGACTTGAAAACCGATTCTCATTATGTTTCAAACAACATTCGAACATTCTTTTACATGACAGAAGTTACCAACACTCTACAAACATACCACTACGACATGTGAGTATGTGACAAAAATGCATTTCTAAAGTTCACTAATCTTCCGCTGTTGAAGTTGCATCGCCCCTACTCCGCTTGTCAGTGGCGACACTACGAAATAATGAACAATCTTACACATGTGAGTCTAGTCAACTCTGAAAACAACAATGTTATTAATGTAACAAAACTGGAATTCTACCCGGTTTGGCTAAAATTTTCTCCATACAATTTAAATATTAAAGTACATAAATGTAAGAACTTGATCCTAAGATAACAACCGATAGTACGTCTATATTTTACAGATGAATTTCGATACTCTACAACAACCAGCACAAAACCATCATACATTAACATAACATCTATGAGCTGCGTCTCTTTTTATGTTTCTGTTGATGAAGGATGTTACCTAGACATTTCGGTACAACCAGCAAACAGCATTACAAAAATAACTGGATTTAACGAAAAGAACAAATTAAAACAGTGGAAAAAATACGAAATAAGGACTGATCCTAAAGCGATTAATCAAACGCTTTCGATTGACAGAGGACGAGACGACAACGGTAACGAAGGTTATTGGACAATTGATGGTATATACGGTTGTAGTTCCGAAACAGGTAGCCATTTTTGCTAAATTAAACTAACCACCGCATCGGATACTTTCATCTCGAAATACGTGAATATAAATCTTAACTATAAAATAATTTTCAGTTATTTATCGAGCAAACTTGAATAGATCCTGGACTAACCAGAAGTGTGGGGAACTAAAACAAACGAACTCTTCAAATGAACTCTGCGACAAAGCCTCTCTAGGAGAAAAATGTAAGATTAAATGCCTTGAAGTTTTGGGACCGAAATATCCCAATTGTGAGGAACATCGAATATGTTTGTCAGAAAATAAATGTCACTGTGCCTGGGGTTTCAAGGGAGAAAATTGTAGAGAAGGTGTTACGTAAACAACTGAAACCATTAAAGTAACTATTTCTTATTTTAGAATGTGGAGAAGATTCTTGGGGATTAGATTGTTTGAAAAATTGTACTAACTGCGAAAAATGTGATAAGAAAACCGGATGTCAAAAATGTAAGGCACAGTACTTCGGGGAACAATGTGTGTATAAATTTCCCGTCGTGAAAAAGGCACCTATTTTAGAACCTAGTGACGACGAGTCGATAAAAATTTTAACAAATATTGAATATGGACAAGACGAAGAGAAGGCAGAACATTATTATATTCAATGGAGAAAGGTATATTACATCTAAGTAAGTTGTTGCTTGTTTTTATGTAATGTTGCCAGCTTGACAGCAACGATGGGTTCGAAAATTACACAGACCACCAATTCCCTATTGCAAAAAATAAGGAATCGTTTTCAATAAATATTTCGCGGAATGATTCTTATCAGTTTAGAATAATATTGGTTAGCCATAATTCATCTTTTCAACAAGATACCATCCCGAAGTTAACCGTATACAAAAGTAAGTAACTAATATAATAATACAATACAGGGTGTTTTTGAAAGATATGTAAAAAAAAGTAACGGGAAATTAGACATGAGAACACATGTCATAAACTCAAAATAACTTTCGTTTTTGAGACAAAATTCGCTAAAAAATGGATCAAAACTGAGCGTGCGCTACTGATTTACGGCAATAATGGTAGTTCGGCAACAGAAAAAAAAAACTTTCAAAGAGGTTTCCTTGAAAAATGCATAGTTATGCAAATGCCGAAATGACCGACCTGGTCTTTAATGTACGGCAGAACATTTGGGAAAGGTCCTGAAACTCGACGTCTCTGTGGTGAAGCTTTCTCCAGCAGGAATTTACAAGACCGTGCCGTTGTTCAAAAACGAAAAAATGCTAATGTCACGCGAGAAAAAAATTATGACTTTTTACTTGTCACTGTTGACTAATATTTTAGGCTAGTTGCTTGAAATCCATTAATAATGTACACCTTGCACTTTATTCATATTTGTCATTGGCGCAATAAAAGTATGGTGTATGGGAAAGTTTTGTATAGCTTTCCAAGATGGTTGAATTTACCAATTTTTTTTGCATATCTTTAAAAACACCCTGTAGTTAAAAAGACAATTTTAGAATCTTTGACTGCACATGTGAAACACGAAGAAACCATCGTATTAAACTGGATTAAACATGACCCAGATGAAACTATGTACAAGATAACACACAGGGTATAAACATAGATAATATTATTACAGCACAAAATGGGTTGAATTGTTTCATGCTTAGCAAGTTTCCTCTCCGTCTAACCCCTGCACGTTTTAGAACTTCTGCATATTTTTGGCACATTTCCATTAAAAAAATCTTTGCTTCGTTACTATCTCTATATTTCTTTACATTCAAAAGTGCGTATCTCTGTATTAATAAATGTACTAGTGTTTGTAAAGTGAATATTCTGTTTCGTTGATCTATGTTCATCACCCTAATTTTTATTTATCTTTTTCTGGGTAACTTGTATTACCTTTTGTAATTATTTAAATTTGCCTTTTTGTTGTTCTTTTCTAAGTAGTGTTTCTTTATTTTTCTTATTTCGCTAAAGTTAAAAATTAACGTTGTTTAGCTTCTATCTGTCCTCTCTTTGAGTGCCATCATGTATGATTTAAATCTTTTTTTTTTCTGTCTTTAAGTACAGTTTTTAATAAGATTATGCATTTGCATCTGTTAAATTTTTAGTGTCAAAAATCATTTTGCGGCCACGAAGCAAAGGAAGAATATAACATGACATCTACAACAACTATTGCACTAACTATTAAACACTCCAAAATATGCAGCATCAAATTGTTCATTATAAAAGATGGAAGCGATGAATTCAAAGAGCAAACAACTGTGATACCTCAAAATTCAACGAAAGAAATACTTCCCGCTGAATTACCAGGAAATGTTACCTTCCTGAAAGATCAAATCGTCCTCGAATTAAACAAATGCCACAATTTTACTGGACCCTTGAAATATTCAATTGAACTTATATGCATAAGCGAGTGGTGTACAAACGAATCTACGAAAATTGATCCGTATCATTTACTAAATTACTCAACTAACATTACTAGAGATGTAAAGGGTTTATCACCTTTTACGGATTACAGTATCATAGTAATTGCGAAAAGGCCTGGTCAGCATGACAAAAAACAAAGTTATTTAACGAAGTCAATGCCGTCAGGTGGATGAGCGTTTATCCCTTTAAAATTAACGAATTCATTATTTTTGTTTATTGCAGCACCACAACCAGTAAATACTTTACATTTATATTCTAGTGACGAAGACACTTTATTTATAACATGGACGGAACCCTTTCCACCAACAGGAAAAATAGAAGCGTACAATGTTACTCTCAGGGATCACACGTCAATTCTTGTTCGAACGAACTGCAAAATGTGGCCCGAATTTCAGTGCACAAATATACCTCGGGGAAAAAAAGTTAGCGTTTACCACGTGACGGTGAGTTTGTAAAAGCTTTATAAGTTTCATTTCCCAAAAAAAAAAGCTGTGCCAAAAAAAAAACTGTCCTAGGTTCAAGCCAAAAACTACGAAGTTGCCGAATGGAGTGAGTCCAATTTTACTATAAATGTCGAAAATGGTTCGTCTTTTATTTGTGGAAACGTAATAAATTAATTTGATTTTGCAGTAACTCAAGCACCTCAAAATTTGCGGATCGAATTGAGTCCACAATCAACGGACGAAGTGATACTCAGATGGGAGTACCCACTTTACACATATGGAAAAATTGAAAAATTCCGTACAGTACTACACAACAGCAGTGGGACAGAAAATAGTACGATTCCAGTTTTCAATGAGATAAACTATAACAAAACTGTATAATACTTTACATTTCTTCAACACTAGTCAACAACGTGATTGTTTCAGATTAAAATCAAGTATGGTATTAAATACAAGTTCACCGCATGGGCACAAAACGCTCATGATGGTGAAAAAGCAACGATTTATTTCGTAATCTCTAAACCCATTTCTAAATTGTCCAATCAAAGTTTTATATTATGGTGTAAAGAAAAATGTCATTTAGTAAAACCAAAATTAACAACACAAGAAAATACAAGTTACAACATTACAATAAAACAACATAATGGAACCAAAACGGAACACGAGGCGAAAGAATCAATTTCTCCTTCGGAAGATAAAATTCTTTGCACTGAAAATAGCCCATCATGCGAAATCCATTCAGAATTCCAAGACGTGGCAAATCAATCTTATTTTCTACAAACAGACAGTGAAGAAATTCCTATCGAATTTACAGCTACTGCAGAAAGCAAGATTATATCAAAAACAAATATTATTATTTCGGCAGTTGTACTAAGTGTAATCCTTCTCTTTGCCTTACTTGTAGGGATATTTTATTATAGGTTAGTGCACTCATTATCAAGTTTAACAACTTTCAATACCTATATTAAAGTTGTAGATACATACTTAAATCTAAAGTTTCAAAAGCCACTGAAATGATTGAAGTTAAAGAAAAAGAAACATTAATCAACACAAGTAACCAAACAAAGATTTTCTTTCGGCCCGTGGACATTAATGAATATGCAGTTTACCTTTTTGCGTCATTACGGGACGATACTTATCAAAGTGTACTTACACAACAATTTCAGGTAAATTCAAAAACAGTTAATACGAATTTAAGAACTATATTTTTAGGAGGTAACAACAAGAAAGGCTACAGATTGTATCCACGGCCGGCTAAACAAAAACCTCCATAAAAATCACTACAAGGATATTTTGCCATGTAAAATAAATTTTATCGAAATAGCCAAAGCACACGGAACCCCAACTCATTTATTATGTTCCAGATGACGACACGAGGGTTATTTTGAACGATAACGAAAATGAGGACTACATAAACGCAAACTACGTTGATGTAAGTACATCTTTAGTTGTACTATTTTAAAACAACAATTTTCAAAGGGTTATGAACATCCGAAAGCATACATCGTTACTCAAACTCCTTTAACGTCTACCGTCCACGACTTTTGGTCAATGATATGTCAAGAAAACGTAAAAATAATAGTCATGTTGTGCAAGCTGGAAGAGAAAGAGTGCAGTAAATGCCAAAAGTATTGGCCAAACGATTTTTCCCACTTTAGGTTCGGATCGTTCTTGATAGAATGTGTTTCCGTAACGCAAAACTTGAATTACATCCATCGGATCCTTGAGGTGAAAAAAAATAATAAGACTCACAGAGTTCAGCATTTGCAGTACCTTACCTGGACTATTCAAGGCATACCCTCGTGTGTTAAAACCTTTACTGCTTTTGTAAAGGAGTTAATGGGATTACGGGATGAATATCCTGTTGTCGTTCATAGCGAGTACGTTGACTTACAACTTTGAAAACTGATTAACATTAATTATTTAGAGGAGGTTGTGGAAGAACAGGAATGTACATTTTATGCGACAGCGTCATAAGAATGAGCATGAAAGAAAAAAAGGTCGACTTTTTTCAAACGCTAGGTAAGATGAGATATCAAAGAGATCGTGTGGTGAGTAATGTGGATCAATACATTTTTTGCCACTTTGTGCTGTTGGAATTTTACTTTCCTGCTTCGAACGCGTCGAATAATTTTGTGCTGGAAATTCAACAAGGTATGCAAGAAACTGCTATAAAACGTCTCGTCGATCGCTTAGACGAAGCTGTAACACAACCCCGTAATGACAAAGATAAAGGTTTTATGATTTCTGAAGGTAGGTACATAATATTTAAGTATTCAGACATAAAACACTATTACATTTTCCGTTGTACGCAGACAACAGTTCTTCTAACAACATGAGCCCTCTATCTGTGGACTGCTTTAATTTTCCCAGAAGATTCATTGTAACAGAAGAACCTTCACAAAATACTTTACGCAGTTTCTGGAATCTAGTTCTAAGCCACGAAGTCGAGATAGTAGTATGGTTAAATGGAACAAATCACAACTACAAGGTAAAGATGTATATGATCCTTAAGTATTACTATTACACATTATCACCTAAGGACTATTCAAGATTCTGGCCTAAAGACACTCTTCACTGGTTTGTTAACGAATCAACTAAGCTCGTTTTCGTTTGTCAAGACGACAGTAATGATATATACAACACAATCACTGTCAAAATCGATACAATTGGAAAGTCTGAAGAAAAATTCGTTAAAATCTTATACGTTAAAACTTGGGAACGTACAAATGCTACGCCTTCGAGCACGAAAGACTTAATTCAAATTTACGACAAAATTGCACCATACAACGGGCAAATTGTTGTCACGTGCTAGTAAGTAAAATATTAAAGCTTGATTTCTCTTTACACTACTGTTAACTTTACAGCGATGGAACAACAGCTAGCGGCCTTTTTGTAGTATTGGTTTCATTGTTGGAAGAAATTAATAAGCATCGTTCTTGCGACATTTTTGAGGCCGCCTACACCGCCAAACAAAGCTGTGCTGAGTTTTTAAAAAATACTGTAAGTGTTTTAACTTTATAGTAGTAGTTTTTAGTCATTTCTGTTTTAGGAACAAATCAGATTTCTCTACATGGCAGTTTTGGAATACGTTCGCGAATTTAACGTTTATGAAGTTCTATCATAGATAAATTAAGTTGATGTTTAACTCGTTTATTATACCTATACCGAATGACTATTAATGATTGTGATCTTTTTGTCAGGTTGGCAAGCTATTTAAAATTTTATGATGGTACATCTGACCGTCAAAGTGAAATTTATGACAATTGCCATCATTTCCACCAATCAACACGTTTGTAAGACATGCTCATATCAAAACTGATAACCGTCATGGAGGTAGAATAAGAGTAAGGAATATAGTTTGAAATTGCGTGTGGCACCACCCTTTCGACTGTCTTTTCCAGCTTCTCCGAGAAATTGTTTGTTCCAATGATGTGCTCGAAAACGCTTGTCGAGGGGCTGGATGTACGATGCAAAAATTAACACGCAGCAAGTCAATGGCATTTATTAAACAAATATGTATTAATATTGTATATACATTTAATCAGTCTCAATGGTAGGAGTCAAATTCTTTTACTATTGCTACATGTAAACCCATTCATAACCAAAGTAGACCGCCTCTGATTGTCTGTTGATAACAGACCGCTCCCGATCTAGTACGGAAAGAGTCATAAATGGCTCTTGCGTGGAGCTCTTCTGCCGGCGTTTCTTTAACATTGGTTAAATGAAGCATGAAGCATGCTCTCTCCTGTCATCTTACGTCCTTGATAACTGTGAACTAACTAGCATTGATGCCAAATTCAAAATTGCCAACACAAAAATTTACTTCTATTATTAATAGTCACCCGGTACTCATATGTAGCACGAAATAATTGTATAAACAGTAAAAAGACCATAGTGATTTACAACTTTTTTTATCAATTTGGCATGGTTTATCAGAGCATTAAAATTATGTACGTTAAAACCTGGGAACGTACAAATGCTGCGCCTTCGAACACAAAAGGCATAATCCATGTTTGTCACAAAATTGTGCCGTATAATGGGCAAATTGTTGTCACGTGCCAGTAAGTAAAATAGTGACGTATGATCTTTCTTTATATCCCTGTTAACATTGAAGCGATGGAACAACACCAAGTGGCCTTTTTGTAGCCTTGGTTTCATTGTTGAAAAAAATTAGTACACCAAGACCGTCAAACAAAACTATGCTCAGTTTTTAAAAAATCCTCTAAGTTTTTTGACTTTATAGTTTTAAATTTTAGTGATTTCTGTTCTAGGAACAAATTCGATTTCTTTATGAAGCAACGTTGGAATATGTTCGAAAATTTAATATTTATAAAGTTGTAGTTTATAGTATATTACATAACAAGAGTGGTAAAAAGCCTATTACACGCGACCTTGAAGTTTGGAGCCATGAGCGCAGCGAGTGGCGTAATTCGAGAGAGTATGTAATAGGCTTACCACTCGAGTTGTGTACTATACTTTTTCTACGACCTCACTTATTGATTTATTTATTTATTTATTCAACGGGATACCTCTTATGATACATACAATGAATGGTAATTGAAACAAAAAGATGCAGAAGGGCATATAAATTAACAATTGACCCTTTTCCTGTAAGCAAAGTGAGTAGACATTATATAAATTCCAATGATACAGAGTGAGACAACATCGCGCAGGCGAAGTCAAATTTTTGGAGCGCAAGTTAAAATTAACCAATGAGCGATAGATTACGCATGTGTAGCTGGTTGCATTCTGTCAAAGCGGTTTGTTGTCACAGGCCTTTGCCCTGCTGCCGGAGTGCCGGATACGTGGTTTTGAAGATGCGTGCGCACGGAAAGTCACTATGGAAGTTTTACGATCTTACAGGAAAAGGGTCAATAACATACAAATAAATAAAAGATAGTTTCCGAAAAAAAAAAAAAAAGAGATAAAATAACCTGCGAAAATATACCTAAATTTAACAAAACATTTTCAAACATACAGAATAGAATATAATATTTTCTCTAACAAGTTTTGATGCAAGCTAAGAGGTTAGCAAATTTCTTGCACTATTCCTAAACTTCCCTTTGGTTGTATTAAACAATAGAAATTATAAATAAAAAAACTAAAACATGGCTTATTAATATGTTTTTCCATTAGTAGCATTACAATGGCTAATTGTCGACTTGTCTAAGAGGTCTGTAATTTGGAAAATTGTGAACCATAGTCAATAATGTAAACGTGAAGTTGGCCACCTTATATGACAACTGTCCACAACTGTCAGAAAAAATGAGACATAACCTGAGAACGATCATTTTGGAAAATCTGCTTTTAAATTATGCCTTGGAATGATTTCCAAAAAAAAAAAATTGATTGTTTTCGGTGTACTTGAGGATAAATTAATGATACAAGTTGATGAAGTTGATGGAAGAGAAAATGAAGTTGACGGGAGTGAAACTGCCTCATGGTTACGATTTGGTTTGACTTGATTTGTCGTAGATGAGCTTTGGACCATTTCGGCGATTTTTTTTATCGGAGATCGAGCCGTCGATGTATCCTTCTGCTACCCTGGAGGATTTTCATCCCCTGTATCGCTTTAACGATAAAAGGTCGATACCTTTTTCAGCCAAAATTGTCGCGATCGCGGAAGTACAACGGAATGAGTGCCGCCACTTTTATTTCCGGAGGGGTACATGACGGTTCACTTTCCAACATTTTTCACACTAAAAATTATTAAAAACGGGAAATATGGAGGAAATTAAAACAAACGTTTTAGACTGTCACAAAATAACAAAATTCCAAAGCTTACTAAAGTGACATGAGTCCATGTTTTTATTGATGCACTTCAGAAAAAAACATTTTGAAAATTCGCAAAGCTCAAATGGGCCACTAGTGGAAAATAGTATATTATTAGCCAAGGTTGCAAAGCTAAGAATTCTAAACCGAGCGCAAATTAGAACCCGAGATGCGCAGCGTCGAGGGCTCTGAAACGCGTGGTCTAGAAGTAGCTTTGCAACCGTGGTGAATGAGCATCCATCTTTTGAACATTAACAAATTCATTATTTTTGTTCATTGCAAATAGCAACACCACAACCAGTAAATACTTTACAATTATATTCTAATGACGAAGACACTTTGTCTATAAGATGGAAGGAACCCTATCCACCAACAGGAAAAGTAGAAGCATACAATTTTACTCTCAGCGATAACACGTCAATTCTTACTCGAACGAATCGTACGGTTTCTTGCGAAATGTGACCCGAATTTCAGTGCACAAACATACCGCGGAAAAAAAACGTTAGCGTTTACAAAGTGACGGTGAGTTTGTAAGAATCTTATAAGTTTCATTAAAAAAAAAAGTCAGTTTTAAAACAGTCATATGTAAACTGACATAATTTTGAAGCTGTCTAAAGAAAACTGTCCTAGGTTCGAGCAAAAAACTACGAAGTTGCTGAATTTTAATATAGATGTCGAAAATGGTTCGTCTTTTATTTGTGTAAACGTAATAAATTAATTTGATTTTATAGTAACTCAAGCACCTCAAAATTTGCGGATCGAATTAACTCCACAATCAACGGACGAAGTGATACTCAGTAGGGAGTACCTACTTTATACATATGGAAAAATTGAAAAATTCCGTACAGTACTAAATAGCAGCAGTGGAACAGAAAATGATACGATCCAAGTTTCCAATGAGATAAACTATAACAAAACTGTATAATACTCTACATGTGTTCTACACCAGTCAACAACGTGATTGTTTCAGATTAAAATCAAGTATGGTAATAAATACAAGTTCACTGCTTGGGCACAAAACGCTCATGATGGTGAAAAAGCAACAATTTATTTCGTAGTCTCTAAACCCATTTCTAAATTGTCAAATCAAGCTTTTATATTATGGTGTAATGAAAAATGTCATTTGTTAAAACCAAAATTAAAAACACAAGAAAATACGAGTTACAACATTAAAATAAAACAACATAATGCCATCAAAGAGGAACACGAAGCGAAAGGATTAATTTCTCTTTCGGAAGATAAAATACTTTGCATGGTAAATAACCCATCATGCGACATCCATTCACAGGTTCAAGACCTGGCAAACCAATCTTATTTTGTCAAAACAGACCGGGAAGAAATTGGAATTTACAGCGCCTGAAGAAATCAAGATTGCATCTGAAACAAATATTATTGTTATTGCGGCGGTTGTGTAATCCTTCTCGCTGTTTACCTTCCAGGAATCTTGTTTTACAGGTTTATTTACTCAACGCCCAGTAAAAATTATTGTTACTTATTTATGTCGTTACAGAAGAAAAAGTCAGGAATATACACCGAAAAAATTAAAAAACATACCAAGCATAAAATTCTCAGACCTTAAAGAAAAAGAAGCACTAATGGTCAACAACAACGAAAGCGATCTTTCTTTCGAACCTGTCAAGATCAACCATTTTGCGAATTTCTTCTCAACTTCGCTCGACGATGATCCAGATGACAACATAATAACACAACAATTCGAGGTCAGCTTAAAACCATTCGTTGCGTTCTTAAAAACAACCCTTTTCAGGCGTGCCTAGAGCAAGAGTTACAAATTGTCAACAAGGCCAGTTACACGAAAATACTAACAAAAACCGCTACAACAATGTCTTGTCATGTAAGAATTGTTTAAAACATTGACTAATCTAACCATTTCTTCGTTTCTAGATGACGACACTAGAGTAATTTTTCAAGGAAACAGCGAGGGAGACTACATCAATGCAAACTGCGTCGACGTAAGTATCTCTTTGACGAGACTTCGACCTGATTAAAATTGTCCAGGCTTATGACGTCCCCAAAGCCTTCATTGCCACTCAAGCTCCTTTGGCGTCCACCGTGCACGACTTTTGGTACATGATCTGACAAGAGAATGTCAAAATCATAGTAATGTTGACCGAAATCGAAGAAAACGGGCGCGTCAGGCGTAAAAAATATTGGCCAGAAGATAACTCTCGTTTCAGGTTTGGAAACTTCCGCGTTGAGAGTGTTTCTCGAAAATCGACTTCGCACTACATCCATCGGGAGTTTCAAGTAATATTTAATAAGCAAAGTCGTTTGGTCGACCATTTCCAGTACACAGCCTGGCCCGATCACGGAGTACCATTGTACGTTTCTGCATTCGTGAAAAATGTATTGAAAATGGAACAGAACACTCCCGTAGTCGTACACTGCAAGTAAGTTGAAAAATTTCTAACACTGGCTATGACTTTAAAATAGTACGTATATACAGGGTGTCTCAGAAATAAGTACATTAATTTTAATCAGTTATAGAGCTCATTTAACTCAACAACTTTTTTTAGTAGAATTTTGTCAAGAACTTTTTAATTATTATCAAATTAAAAATTGTTAAAGTTATACCCCAATTAAGGTTACCCGCCCATGGATCCTCAGTCACCCATGGACACTAATAATTATTATAATTAATAATTTATGGTCAAAAACAGTTACTAGGATACGTATTTTCCTAAGCGTGTCAATGTGACAAACATTTAGAGAGAAATTGAAAATCTTGCTCCCTAATGGCGTACGGAATTTCATCGGCCCAAATGTGGGTGTTGAACACCTTCCCTCGTGTAACCGACCTCATCAGTTGATGGTATAAGAGATACAAAATTTGCTTGTTCGTTTATTTTTCTATTAATGGAAAGAGTACATTTGTTCTCTGAGTATCCTCCAAATACTACTCTCCGATACATCACACTAGACGTGCTAGTGCTCGGTCGAGCTTCGACACTCTTCAAAACAGTCTCTTCAATATTAGCAATTTTATTACTACGTAACTTACCCCGATCCTGAGGTGCAGGTTTAAAAGATCCGTACTCTCGAAAATGCTGCAACGTTCTTAAAACTGCGCACAGACGACGATTTGGAAGGTTTTCTGAAAAAATTCGTTGGGCGCGAGTGCCGTTTTCCCGAGCTTCACCGTACGTTAAAACGATATCGGTGCATTCCAGATTTGAAAACAAAGCCATTTCAACACATTTCGTCTACAAATTATAAATCTCTGCCAAACAAACTTTAAAGAGACAACGTTTAATAAAAACATTGACATAAAAATGATTGTCAGTGTCAAAACGGTTGCTACGGTACCTTCTTCATTGTTGTAGTGTTGCTATTATTTAAGTTATTATTTAAGGCGAACATAGACGGCTCGTGAATATATGGGTGGGAAAATTCGAAATTCGACTTGAGTTATCGAAAAAATGCAAGATAAAAAAGTTGTTCCGTTTCACGAGTTCTGTTACTGGTTAAAATTAATGTACTTATTTCTGAGACACCCTGTATATCCAGTGCAGGGTGTGGCAGGTCGGGTACTTTCATTCTGTGCGACATTCTCATTAAAAAGCAATTGGCACTCATCAGCAAGTAGATGCTTATTTACCTCGATTTCCAGAAGGCTTTTGATCAGACAGATATTTTTTTCTGATTGATAAATTTAAATATTTTGCTCTTTCAGATTCTCTTATTAGTTATTTCAATCATACCTATTTAACCGTGTCCAATATGTCAAATATCGAAATCATAAGTCTCACACTTTTAAACCAAATTCTGGAGTGCCCCAGGGCTCCAATCAATGTGAGACCTTTGTTATTCTTGAATTTTATCAACGACCTGGCGAGTGTTATTTCATGTGAAACGCTTTTCTTTGCAGATGATGTTAAGTTATTTATGAGCGTTGACTCAATAGATGATTGTGTAAGTTTACAGAGGAATGTTACAAATGTGTTGAACTGTGTTAGGTTTGAAAAGCAGCCTGTGGGCTAAATCTGTGGACTGCTTTAATTTTCGCAGAAGATTCATTGTAACAGAAAAACCTTCACAAAATACACCACGCAGTTTCTGGAATTTAGTTATAAGCCACGAAATCGAGATAGTAGTATGGTTAAATGGAACAAATCACAACTACGAAGTAAGCATACAGGGATTTCTAAGAATAATTTCTAATTTCACTTTGACATTTGGATTTTGCATGGTTAATTAATGGAAAGACGCGATCGCCGAACTTCGACAGTGCGACGGAACATTTCGCGACAATTCGGATCGGGCGCGAATTTCAAAATACGATTTTTAAAACCTTTTTACAGTGAATGAGCGCGATGCAACGATTTGAAAAAAATACTGGCCGATAGTCCTCTTCGACCTCCACAAAGGCCTCACTCAATAATAGCTTTAAAGTGATCTGGGGAGATATTATAAAATAAAAACCAATTCCCATGTTAATTCCCTATATCCAGACTTGGATGCGGCACCCTGTATATATGTTCCTTAAGTATTACTATTACACATTATCACCTAAGGACTATTCAAGTTTCTGGCCTAAAGATGCTCTTCACTTACAGCGATGGATCAACAGCTAGCGGCCTTTTTGTAGTGTTGGTTTCATTGTTGGAGGAAATTAATAAGCATCGTTCTTGCGACATTTTTGAGGCCGCCTACACCGCCAAACAAGGCTGCGCTGAGTTTTTAAAAAATCCTGTAAGTTTATACGTTAGTAATTTCTGTTTTAGGAACAAATTAGATTTCTTTATGAAGCAGCATATAATATTTATGAAGTCGTACTTTAAATCAATTAAATTAATATTGAATTCATTTATTAGTGAAGAGTAGGTTAAGTTAAATTTAACAGTAAGAAAAATGCAATGCAAATAATTCTCTAACGACTAATAAAGACCATACAAATTTATTCGTTTCAAATTACAACAATATTATTGACTTAAAAAATATGTCTATAAATTGCTACCTAATACACTAAAATGTACCTTTTATCGCATAGATAAACGTCGCCCTTACCCAGAAATGGCATGACGTAACAACGAGTAACTACAAAAAATTTATCATGATAACGATTTGTTTGCGAACACTGTACTCTTTCAATGTGATGTGACTCATTATATAAGGAGTGTAACGAAAAAAATCGGTAAAATTCAAAGTCACGCAACGGCTTTATTTGAAAAGGTATAATACTAATTTTTGTTTTATTTAAAAGACTGTTTCTTGAAGTAAGATTCTATAGTAAACAACGATATCAGTTAAGCTCCGTCCCATTGTTTTCTAATCTTCTTTCTAATATCTTTCATAATGTTTCTGATAGTGTCATTTTCAATATTCTTGGTTGCTCCAGTCCAGTTTAAGACAAAATCTTTTTCATCTTTCGCTGTTTTTTGAGTTGTTTTCAGTTTCTTTTTAGCTATAGACCAATATCTTTCGATCAATACCATGCTCTTCTAAGGTAGCAATCGTCGCCCTGGCATAATGAGAAGTGGCCAAATCTGGCCGAAACATCGTTGCACCATTCTGTTTTTGAATGAAGGTGTAGGTAAGCAGAGAAAAATGTTGTGCCTCGGTGGGAGTCGAACCCACGTCTCTATGCTTTCCGGGCAAGTAACTTTACCGCTGGACCACGAAACCACTTAGGGTACCAATCTTTTTTTTTAAACATACTTTAATATATACTTCTGCCGAAATAGTTCCTTTAGTAACAAATTATGAAAACCTCAAACCGCACTGACAAATGGCCTGCCATACCAAGTATTTAGTACCAAATTTGTCCCTAGCAATGGAAGTCTCAGATTCTGAAAGAATTTCTCCTTCAAATGGTGTATAATAACTAGGCCCTGGCAATGTCGTCCGTTTTGACATACGTTTCGTCATCCAAAACAAAACAACAATTTTTTTAACAAATTAAGGAGTACAGCTTACGGGCTCTAGTTTTAATTACTTTACGCTGTTTTCCCGACAGTTTTGGTATTTTTTATTTCTTATGAGTTTTCATACTCGCACGCTGTTTAGCTCTTTGCACCATACCTTCGTTCGTACGGCATTTTTTTGCCACATCCCTAACAGACATAGCGCGATTCTTGCAGATGGTTTTAACAATTGTTTTTTATCCATTTGTCAATTATTTTCTTCCTACGCTCTAATTCACACATTATTTTCAAAAGAAATATCAACAATGTGATTGAACTGGTATCACGAATTAATATTTTGAATATTTGACATTGTTGCTATGACAACTCCGCAACGAATAAGCAAAAGAACAGCCTGCTATGATGTTTTGAAATTTACAGTTTTGGATCATAACACTCCTTATTTAATTTTTCTAATTCTACTCAGATCATAGTGAATGGAAGAAAATGAAGTTACTTTTGTACAATTATGTTGTCGCGAGTGTGTTAATTTCAGCCGAAGTGATAACATTAATTAAAGATGCGAGTATCACGTGTGTTTTAACAGATAAATCTGTTAACTCCACTATATACGTAACGAATGCCGATGACCTTGTAAAACTTGAACGGGCAATTCATGAAATAACCAATATATATGATAATGATTGGCAATGCAGAAAGTCGAGTGTTGACTTTCGGCCAGTACTTGACCAACGTTGGACAAGTAAGTAAATCACACAACGAAAGGAGATTTCTTTACGGTTTCTCAGATTTTAGGCCAGACACTACAGGTGTCAGACTTGAAAATCGATTCTCATTATGTTTCAAACAACATTCGAACATTCTTTTACATGACAGAAGTTACCAACACTCTACAAACATAACAATACGACATGTGAGTATGTGACAAAAACGCATTTCTAAAGTTCACTAATTTTCCGCTGTTGAAGTTGAATGGTCCCTACACCGCTTGTCAGTGGGAGCACTACGAAATAATAAAAAATAATACACATGTGAGTCTAGTCAACACTGAAAACAACAATGTTATTAATGTAACAAAACTGGACTTTAAACCGGATTGGGTAAAATTTTCTCCAGACAATTTCAATATTAAAGTACATAAATGTAAGAACTTGATCCTAAGATAACAATCATATAACAGCTATATTTTGCAGATCAATTTCTATACTGCACAACAACTAGCACAAAACCATCATACATTAACATAACATCTATGAGCTGCGTCTCTTTTTATGTTTCTGTTGATGAAGGATGTTACCTGAATATTTCGGTACAACCAGCAAATAGCATTACAAAAATAACTGGATTTAACGAGAAGAACAAATTAAAACAGTGGAAAAAATACGAAATAAGGACTGATCCTAAAGCGATTAATCAAACGCTTTCGATTGACAGGGGACGAGACGACAACGGTAACGAGGGTTATTGGACAATTCATGATATACACAGTTGTAGTTCCGAAACAGGTAGACATTTTTGCTAAATTAAACTAAACACCGGATCGAATACTTTCATCTCGAAATGCGTAAGTATAAACCTTAGCTACAAAATGATTTTCAGTTATTTATCGGACCAACTTGAGTACATCCTGGACTACCCAGAAGTGTGCGGAACTAAAACAAACGAACTCTTCAAATAAACTTTGCACCAAAGCCTCTTTAGGAGAAAAATGTAACATTAAATGCGATGAAGTTTTGGGACCGAAATATCCCAACTGTGAGGAACATCGAATATGTTTGTCAGAAAATAAATGTCACTGTGCCTGGGGTTTCAAGGGAGAAAACTGTAGAGAAGGTGTTACGTAAACAACTGAAAACAGTTACAATAACTATTTCTTATTTTAGAATGTGGAGAAAATTCTTGGGGATTAGATTGTTTGAAAAATTGTACTAATTGCGAAAAATGTGATAAGAAAACCGGATGTCAAAAATGTAAGGCACAGTACTTCGGGGAAGAATGTGTGTATAAATTTCCCGTCGTGAAAAAGGCACCTATTTTAGAACCTAGTGACGACGAGTCGATAAAAATTTTAACAAATATTGAATATGGACAAGACGAAGAGAAGGCAGAACATTATTATATTCAGTGGAGAAAGGTACATTACATCTAAGTAAGTTGTTGCTTGTTTTTATGTAATGTTGCCAGCTTGACAGCAACGATGGGTTCGAAAATTACACAGACCACCAATTCCCTATTACAAAAAATAAGGAATCGTTTCCAATAAATATTTCGCGGAATGATTCTTATCAGTTTAGAATAATATTGGTTAGCCATAATTCATCTTTTCAACAAGATACCATCCCGAAGTTAACCGTATACAAAAGTAAGTAACTAATATAACAATACAATACAGGGTGTTTTTGAAAGATATGTAAAAAAGTAACGGAAAATTAGACATGAAAACACATGTCATAAACTCCAAATAACTTTCGTTTTTGAGACAAAATTCTCTAAAAATGGATCAAAACTGGGCGTGTGCTACTGATTTACGGCAATTCGTTGTTTGGCAACATTTGCGGCGGGCTAATTTGACTTTCAAGTAAAGAACAATAATCTTAGTTCGGCAACAGAAAGAGAAACTTTCAAAGAGGTTTTCTTGAGAAATGCAAAGTTATACAAATGCCGAAATGACCGACCTGGTCTTTAATGTATCGCAGAACATTTGGAAATGGTCTTGAAACTCGGCGTCTCTGTGGTGAAACTTTCTCCAGTCGGAATTTATCAGATCGTGGAACTTTCAATGCCGTTGTTCAACATCTCAAAAAAATGCTAATGTCGTTTCTAAAACACTTGACCAGCGAGAAACAAATTATGACTTTTTACTTGTCATTGTTGACTAATACTTTAGGCTAGTTGCTTGAAATCCATTAATAATGTACACCTTGCACTTTATTCATATTTGTCATTGGCGCAATAAAAGTATGGTGTATGGGAAAGTTTTGTATAGCTTTCCAAGATGGTTGAATTTACCAATTTTTTTTGCATATCTTTAAAAACACCCTGTAGTTAAAAAGACAATTTTAGAATCTTTGACTGCACATGTGAAACACGAAGAAACCATCGTATTAAACTGGATTAAACATGACCCAGATGAAACTATGTACAAGATAACACACAGGGTATAAACATAGATAATATTATTACACCACAAAATGGGTTGAATTATGTTTCTATGCTTAGCAAGTTTCCTCTCCGTCTAACCCCTGCAAGCTTTAGAACTTCTGCATATTTTTGGCACATTTCCATTAAAAAAATCTTTGCTTCGTTACTATCTCTATATTTCTTTATATTCAAAAGTGCGTATCTCTGTATTAATAAATGTACCTACTAGTGTTTGTAAAGTGAATATTCTGTTTCGTTGATATATGTTCATCACCCTAATTTTTATTTATCTTTTTCTGGGTAACTTGTATTACCTTTTGTAATTAAGTTATTTAAATTTGCCTTTTTGTTGTTCTTTTCTAAGTAGTGTTTCTTTATTTTTCTTATTTCGCTAAAGTTAAAAAATAACGTTGTTTAGCTTCTATCTGTCCTCTCTTTGAGTGCCATCATGTATGATTTAAATTTTTTTTTTCTGTCTTTAAGTACAGTTTTTAATAAGATTATGCGTTTGCATCTGTTTACATTTTTAGTGTAAAAAATCATTCTGCGCCGACGAAGCAGAGGAAGAATATAACACCACATCTACAACAACTATTGCACTAACTATGAAACACTTCAAAATATGCAGCATCAACTTGTTCATTATAAAAGATGGAAGCGATGAATTCAAAGAGCAAACAACTGTAATTCTTCAAAATTCAACGAGAGAAATACTTCCCGCCGAACTACCAAGAAATGTTACCTTCTTGAAAAATCAAATCGTCCTCGAATTAAACAAATGCCACAATTTTACTGGACCGTTGAATTATTCAGTTGAAGTTATATGCATAAGCGAGTGGTGTACAAACGAATCTACGAAAATTGATCCGTATCATTTACTACACTATTCAAGTAACATTACTAGAGATGTAAAGGGTTTATCACCTTTTATGGAATACAACATCACAATAATTGCAAAAAGGACTGGTCAGCATGACAAAAAACAAACTTATTTAACGAAATCAATGCCGTCAGGTGGATGAGCATTTATCTCTTTAAAATTAACGAATTCATTATTTTTGTTCATTGCAGCACCACCACCAGTAAATACTTTACATTTATATTCTAGTGACGAAGACACTTTGTTTATAAGATGGAAGGAATCCTTTCCACCAACAGGAAAAATAGAAGCGTACAATGTTACTCTCAGCGATAAAAAGTCAATTCTTACTTTAACGAATCGTACGTTTTCTTGCGAAATGTGGCCCGAATTTCAGTGCACAATTATACGGCGAAAAGAAAAAGTTAGGGTTTGCACAGTGACGGTGAGTTTGTAAGAATTTTATTTAATTTAATTTTAATTTAATTTAATTTAATTTGACGGGAAAACCCCAATTTACAATACTATAAACTATACAAATTGAAATTATCTTAGAAAATACAGAAAAAAAAAAAAACAAACTAATTAAGTAAATAAAATCTATATACTTATAAACCCTTCACTAATAATTTTCTTAAAGAATTGAAAATGAATTAAACTTAAATACTAACATTCTATCATACACTTTAATTTACAGACCTAAAATACACTTAATTCTAGATTTGAATTTTGATCTGTCACAATCAAATAATAAAAATGTTGAATTGTCCGCCATCCTGTTAGCCGTTTCCATCATACGTTTGATCGGATGATTTTGCGATTTGTTAGTCGTGGACACAGGTACCCTAAATATCACTGTGCTCCGAGTTTTTCTACTATTTGAAGGAGGTATTAGAAATGTTAGTTGACGCAACAAGCTAGGATTGTCTATGTAACCATTAACTAGCCCATGAAGAAAACAAACATCGTACATTTTACGTTGATCCTCTAATGACAATATTTTCAAATTACACATAATCCACGTATAATCCCCTCTTTGATGGACCCGATTAAGTTTGAATTCCAACAGTCGTAGAAATTTTTTCTGGACTCTTTCTAAAAGGTCGATATCTTTCTTATAAAATGGCGACCATACAGGAGAGCAATATTGAAGATTTGACTGCACCAAAGAAAAATACAAGGTTTTAAGAGCAGAGACAGATAATGTTCGACAGTGACGCCAAATGAGCCCCAGCATGCTTATTGATTTATTGAATATATAATGAAAATGCTCCTTGAACGTAAGTTTGGAGTCTAGAATGATTCCTAAATCTTTGACTTCATTTACACGAATTACTGACGATTTCCCTAATTGGTAATCAAAATACAACACTGATTTGACATTAAAAAAAGAAATTATACAACATTTTTTCAAATTCAACGGAAGTAAATTGCTCACTGTCCATTTATGCAGAGTATTTAGGTCTAGTTGAAAATCTAAAGCATCATCAACAGATTGAATAGTTCTGAATAATTTCAGATCATCAGCATATAGTAAGAATTTAGAGTGCTGAAATCCAATTGTCAAATCGTTAACGAAAATTTGAAACAGTATAGGTCCACAATGTGAACCTTGTGGTACACCAGAAAATGCAAAGTATTGAGAAGACAAATGATTACCAATTTTAACTTGCTGAGATCTATTAAATAAAAACGATGTTAGCCACTTGATAGTCTTCCCACTAAAACCTAATTTAGTCATCTTATAAATAAGTAACCTATGATTGACTTTATCAAACGCTTTTGAGAAATCAGCATATAAAGAATCTATTTGACTTTTTCGAGAGAAAGCATCATTAAGATAACAGTAGTATTCCATCAAATTAGTTAATGTTGATCTGTTTTTATAAAAACCATTTTGTTTCTCAGAAATAAGAGACGAAGAAATCCACTGTAATTGTTTGGCCACAATAAAATCTAATATTTTTGGTATTACTGACTGATTACATACCCCCCTATAATTATCAATTTTACTCCGATTGCCTGATTTGAAGATGGGAGTTACATAGCTGTTTTTCCAAATTGTCGGAAAGTTCCCTAAAGATAAAGAAGTCTTAAATAACAAAAACAATGGTAATGAGATTGAAAAAACACAGTTTTTTAGCAGAATACTAGGCACTCCGTCTGGACCAGGATTGCAAGAAGACTTTAATTGAGAGATATATTCAAATATTTCAGCAAGATTTACATTTAATCCACTATCGCATACTTCTCCATCAAGGCTGAAGTTAAAGTCTGAGTTGCTATTGTCATCAATAACATACACTGATGAAAAGAATTTAGCGAATAAGTTAGAGATATTTTCTCCACCATTGGCAAACGTATGAAAAAGACTCATTTCATTCGGGATGCCACGAGACTGTTTCTTATCATTAACGAATTTCCAAAAATATTTCGGATTATCTGTAATACTATTATTTACATTTACCAGATACAAATTATAAAGACGTGCGCTAAGATCTTTACATCTACTTCTTAACGCTTTAAAATGTAAATAGTCCGCATATTTTCCAGATTTAATGTAGGTTGAATGAGCAACCTTTTTGTCACGACACAAATCTATTAATTCTTTATTAAACCATTTAGGAAAAGACCTAGAACAATATTTAATAGTTTTTTTAGGAATGTATTTTTCAATGCCAGTGAAAATAATATTATAAAAGGTAGAAACCATCACCTCAAATTCAAGACCATCAAAAAGAAATTTCCAATCCACAGAAGCAATAAATTCATTGAGAAGATGATAATTACCATTTGCAAAATCAAAAATTACATATTCAGAAGTAACATTCTTAAAATCATATGATGAGTAGACTGACCAATGATATGGGATATGATGATAAGTTTCCGGGAGAATCGAATCAATGGCAGCGCAGACTTTTATATCTGTGATATTTGTAAAGATTAGATCCAAGAAAACGTTTCTATTATTTGGAATTTCGTTAACTTGTAGCAAGTTTAAAAAAGAGTATGTTGCATTAATGACATCATAATAATCCTTCGAGTTACCCAGCAAATCTAAGTTTACTTTGTTGTTTTCCCATACAAGATGAGCAAGATTATAATCCCCAGCAATTATAAACGAAAAATCTGAAAATTGAGAGTAGATGGTTTCCAACTCTGAACAGTGAGTATTATAAGTGTTAAGATCAGAAGCAGGAGGAATATACACGCCCCCAACAATCAAATTTAAATCACCAGTATTTATTTTAACATAAACGCTTTCAACACTGGTACCCAAGTAAACTTCAGATGAATTTAAACTCTTATTAACAGCAACCATCACACCCCCACCTCTTGATTTCATGGTCCTCTTCAAATCCCGATCCGTGCGATAAATATTATAATTACTTAGTTGCAATTCTTCATTTGATATTTCATCGAATAACCAAGTTTCTGTTATAATAATTATGTCATAAACACTAGAGTTAGCATTAAGAGAAAATTCCTTAAGTCTGCTTCGCATCCCACCCACATTGTGATAATAAAAATGAACTACTTTTTTGATGGACCTCCTTTTACATTTTGTTTAGCAATAAACGGGCAATTATTCTTGTACTTTAAGACAATATCAGATTCTCCATTAGCAGTTCTATCAAGATATTCTTTTCTCACTCGATTATTGTAATCTCGTTGCAATACGGTTAAGTCTGGACGAAAATGATATTCCCGGTTGGGATTAGACTTATTTGACCTTAAAATTTCTCTTGCCGCGGTCTCAGAGTCGTAGATAATTTTTAGTGGCCTCTTTACGTTAGGTTTCTTGCTTCCAAGCCTAATCATTTTATTAGGCTGAGGAAACGTACCTAAGGGTGTTAAAATAGACATCACTTTTTGCAGATCTTCAGCAACTCTTCCTGCTAGTTCAGCAGCAGTCGATTCCGGGATATTAAACAGCATGACATTGCAGCTTCGTTGTTTGCGTTCCTCTATTTCTGCTACAACGTTATTTAAATTAATTTCATTGTTTTCCACTGAATTATTATTATTATTCTTGAATTCGGCCCATTCATCCTGTATGATTTTTACATTATTTTCGACTGTGGCAATGCGATCATTCAACTGTCTAAAGTGATCATCCATTGATTGTTGCAGTTCTTTTTTTAATAACTCTAACTGCTTTGCCATAATACTTTCAATAACTTCAGCTGTAATAGAATGGTTGGGTTGTTCATTATTAGTTTTGGTTTGAGTACACTTTTCACAAGACCATGTCAAACTGTTCTTAATAACTTCAGTTACTTCAGCATCGGTTAAAGACGAACACTTTATATGGCAATATTTTTTGCAAAATCCGTTACATTTAATTGAGGGTGTTGTCGGGGTAATTGCTGAGTTGCAACTCAGACAAAAATTAGGCATCGTGCAGTGATAAGAATCAAATACAGATCTTAAATTAATGAATAAAATTAAGAAATAATAAAGGATATTACAGGGACACACTCTTCACGTTGACGGTGCCTGTCGTAACGACTTATCAATTAAACAAACAAGGGTAATAAGACAGCGGAATATGTGTATGTGACACCTTAGGAAAGAAAAAGAGAGAACAAAGGTAAAAACAGAGCAAATGGCGGCTTCAAGTAATCGTCTTATCACATGATATCAAAAACTAAGACTTACCAATAATAAAAACTCTCTTAGGAAAAAGTGATCGCACGTTTGATTACAATATAAATGCACTTGGAAAGGATTATATAAATATACTAATAAAAGAACTATAATCCAGAGTCACTAGCTAGCTAGCTCACGCACCTCTTAACACAAATAATAAAACAACAGTTATAAGTTTCATTTTCAGAAAAAAAGTCAGTTTTAAAACATACATATATAGCTGACATAAGTTTGAAGCGTGCCAAATAAAAAAAAACTGTCTTAGGTTCGAGCAAAAAACTACGAAGTTGCTGAATGGAGTGAGTCCAATTTTACAATAAATGTCGAAAATGGTTCGTCTTTTATTTGTGGAAACGTAATAAATTAATTTGATTTTACAGTAACTCAAGCACCTCACAATTTGCGGATCGAATTAAGTCCACAATCAACGAACGAAGTGATACTCAGATGGGAGTACCCACTTTACACATATGGAAAAATTGAAAAATTTTATACAGTACTACACAGCAGCAGTGGGACAGAAAATGATACGATCCAAGTTTCCAATGAGATAAAGTATAACAAAACTGTATAATACTCTACATTTCTTCTACACCACTCAACAACGTGATCCTTTCAGATTAAAATCAAATATGGTAATAAATACAAGTTCATTGCTTGGGCACCAGGCGCTCATGATGGTGAAAAAGCAACGATTTATTTCGTAGTCTCTAAACCCGTTTCTAAATTGTCGAATCAAGCGTTTATATTATGGTGTACAGAAAAATGTCATTTAGTAAAACCAAAATCAAAAACACAAGGAAATACGAATTACAACATTACAATAAAACAACATAATAGAATGAAGGAGGAACACGAGGCGAAAGGATTAATTAGTCCTTCGGAAGACAAAATTCTTTGCACGGAAAATAACCCATCATGCGACATCCACTCAAAGTTCCAAGACGTGGCAAATCAATCTTATTTTCTAAAAATAGACCATGAAGAAATACATATCGAATTTACAGCGACTGAAAAACGCAATATTACATCAAAAACAAATATTATTATTGCGGCAGTTGTGCTAGGAGTAATCCTTCTCGCTGCCTTCCCTCTAGGATTCTTGATTTACAGGTTAATTTACTCAACGCCCAGTAAAAATTGTTACCTATTTATGTCGTTACAGGAGAAAAAGTCAAGCATATACACCGAAAAAATTAAAAAACATACCAAGCATAAAATTCCCAGACCTTAAAGAAAAAAAAGCACTTATGCTCAACAACAACGAAAGGGATCTTTCTTTTGGACCTGTGAAGATCAACCATTTTGCGAATTTCTTCTCAACTGCGCTCGACGATGACCCAGATGACAACATAATAACACGACAATTTGAGGTCAGCTTAAAACCATTCGTTGCGTTCTTAAAAACAACCCTTTTCAGGCGGTACCTAGAGCAAGGGTTACAAATTGTCAACAAGGCCAGTTACACGAAAACGCTAACAAAAACCGCTACAACAATGTCTTGCCATGTAAGTATAGTTTAAAACATTTACTAATCTAACCATTTTTTCGTTTCTAGATGACGACACTAGAGTAATTTTGCAAGGAAACAGCGAGGGAGACTACATCAATGCAAATTACGTCAACGTAAGTATCTCTTTGACCAGACTTCGATTTGAGTAAAATTGTCCAGGGTTACGACGTCCCAAAAGCCTTCATTGCCACTCAAGCCCCTTTGGCGTCCACCGTGCACGATTTTTGGTACATGATCTGGCAAGAGAATGTCAAAATCATAGTGATGTTGACCGAAATCGAAGAAAACGGGCGCGTCAAGAGTGAAAAATATTGGCCAGAAGATAACTCTCGTTTCAGGTTTGGAGATTTCGTCGTTGAGAGTGTTACTCGAAAATCGACTTCGCACTACATCCATCGGGAGTTTCAAGTAATATTTAATAAGCAAAGTCGTTTGGTTGACCACTTCCAATACACAGCCTGGCCCGACCACGGAGTACCATTGTACGTTTCTGAGTTTGTTGCATTCGTGAAAAATCCATTGCAACTGGAACAGAACACTCCCGTAGTCGTACACTGCAAGTAAGTTAAACAATTTCTAACACTGTATATGACTTTAAAATGTATCCAGTGCAGGGTGTGGCAGGTCGGGTACTTTCATTCTATGCGACATTCTCATTAAAATGGGTACGAAAGAAAAGCAGTTGGACTTTTTTGGGGTTTTGAAGCGAATAAGAGACCAAAGGGTTGGGCTGGTGAGCAACGTAGAACAGTACATTTTTTCGCATCAAGTCATATTAGAGTACTTCTTCGGAGAAGATTTTTCTATTTCCATTGGTGATAATTTTGAAGAGGAGGTACAAAACGCTTTAATTGACTTCAACATAAAACACATGCTCAAATGTCTGACACGAAACAAGAGACCTCAATTTAAAACAACCGCGCAACTTACCGACGAAGAAAAATCCAAAAATCGGTTTTCTAAAATCTTGCCGGGTAAGTATAACACGAAATGACTCTTATTTCTCACGAGTCGAAAATAAACGCATTTCTTCATTCGCATAGGCCCTTCCCAAATTTATTTGCCAATATCTTCGCGCGATTCCTCCAACTACATCAACGCTGTAACCGTGGACGGCTACCAATGTCCCAAAAAATTCATCGTAACGCAACAACCCCTACCCAACACTGTTGGAGACTTCTGGAAACTAGTTCATGAATACGAAATTGACACAATCTTGTCTTTGAACACAATTAACGACAAAGACGTGGTAACATCTCTAAATTTAGTCCGATTCAAACACTACGTTATCGTATTCCAGGATTGCCCGAAATTTTGGCCCAACGAGAACGAAGGTAGTTGGACCTTCAATTCGATGAAATTAGTTTTCTTCAATCAAGAAACTGACAACCCTTCATACAACTTAGGACGACTCAAAGTAGGGAAAACGACGGAAGACAAAACGAAGATCGTCATTGTAATAGACCTGAAAAATTGGAGACGGAAAACACTTAAGCCTTCGAATATTAAGGATTTAATTCATGTTTGGCAGAAGATTATGACGTGTAAAGGGAAAATTGTTGTCAGTTGCTAGTAAGTCGAGGCAATAGTGTGATTAGTTTTTTTATTGGGTTGAATTTCAGCGACGGGGCAACTGCTAGCGGACTTTTCGTGGCGATGGCGTTTGTGCTCGAAAAAATCAATTTAGATAATTGTTGCGACGTTTTTACTGCCGTTAGAACCGTGAAACAAAGTCGGCCACAGTTCGTCGAACACACTGTGAGTGACTAGTTTCGATTTTTTGATTTTGTGCTAATTTTTTTTTCCAGGAACAACTGAGATATTTGTATCAGGTCGCTCTTGAGTATATACGGGAATTTAACACTTACCAGAATTTTACCTGATCGAACTGGTTTGCTATAGTGTTTTTTTATACGCGGTAGATATAAATCACCATTTTTAGTAACTTGGAATGTAACTGCTTAGTAAATATAGAAAATATATGCTACTTATTTTCAATTTATCATAAACGCCATTGATCACTGAACCCTGAATTTAAAAAAAAATTGGACTAAAAAGTTTAGACCGTACTTCCCTCGCTGTCGGAAACGTGCCGACTGCATGCCTATTATGTTTATTTTGCATTAGATTTTTGTAGCCGGGAATTTTAAAATAAATTGAATGAATTAAATTTTTCAATTTTGCCATTATTTGGCATTGACATCTTTGTCATTTTTTTCTGTGATTGCTATTGTGATGTCCTCTCTGATAGTCACTACGGTGGTTGGTTAATAACACCACTACATATTTATTATTACCGCTACAACCACTTCCTGGTTTTAGCTATCACTTACACTTTTATACACTATTGATGACCTAGTTCCTTGTAATGGACAAGCATTTGCTGACTAAAAGATTCAAACTAACTCATTCCATTACACTATGATTGCGTATTAAAAAATAAAAATAAATTGCACGAAGTCATCTCTGGGGTGTATAATATGTTGCCTATGCAAAAATTGTCAAGTGTGAACAGATAAAGTGAACAGATAAAATGAACATCCTCTATAGTACTTGTAATTTAAGACAATTTTATTAGCCATAACACTGATATCAACCTGTAGACGTGACGGTGAAACACAAACTAAACTAAAACATGGTTTCTACGAATTGAAATAACCGGATGATAATGCGGCGGTCCAGACTTTTTTATTGCTCTGACTTCAGTTTATTGAATAAAACACTACATTTTATTTGGTTTTTGGATGCTGTAATTCACATTTGGTTAATTATAACTTGTCTATATCTAGGGGAGCATCCCCTAGCCTCCCCTAGCTACGGCCTTATGAAATATCGAGAAACGAGTACCAAATTGACCAATGGAGTTCATTACTGTATTGTGGCCGTCAAATTAGACCGAATGCTGTCTGGGGCGTGGTCGTGCTGCCATTCATTGAAGTGATTAGGATGTTTGTAATTTTTATTACCCTCCACTGTTTGGGCACAGCATAGCTCTTATTTAAGTACTATACTATCCTCAAACATATTTGGCGTTTATGACTTCACACCAATTTGACTCCCATTATAATTCAATAGGCCGTCACAACCGGATGTCTTAAACCCGCTCACCGATACCTACCTGAAAAGACCTTTTCGACGTGCCAGGGACGGTCGAGACGCGAAGGACCGGACTCAGAGTAATTTTGTTTGTTAAAATTTTCAAATTTCAAAATTTCCTTACAGAACATGATTTATACTTTGAAGAAAATTACACAAAGACACAACTATTAGAAGTGTTACACACTCGAAAATTTGAGAAACAATATAAAATAGATGCTATGGCGCGAGATCGTGGATTTAGGGTGATTAGACTTCCGCCGTACCATTCTATATTTAACCCCATCGAACTAATCTGGTCGCAAATGAAAAATAATATAAGAAGGAATAATACGGCACCAAAATTTAGTAGTGCAACAACTGACATAATTAGGGAAGAAGCTTCCAAAATAACTGCCGAAATGTGGGCCAATTGTGTACGACATTCCACAAAAGAAGAAGACCAGTACAGGGCACGGTTGATAACACCGTTAATTATTAATTTAGAAGAGTCGAGTGATGATGACAGTGACTATTTCGATCAATAAATAAGCAGTAGTAGTTAATAAGTAAATAGTTGTGCTGTAATAAAAAATGATTGAGTACAAAGTTACTTTGTTTTTACTTAAAATAAAAAACTCGAAAGGCACAGTTGTCGGTAAATGCAAAACTCAGTCCTCCCCTGTGCTTTTACCAGAAAAGGTCTTTTCAGGTAGGTATCGGTGAGCGGGTTTAAGACATCCGGTTGTGACGGCCTATTGAATTATAATGGGAGTCAAATTGGTGTGAAGTCATAAACGCCAAATATGTTTGTGGATAGTATAACTGAATGGTACGCGGCATTCGGTCCAAATTTATGGCATCTATAAGCTGTGGTTAGGGGTTTATTGAGCGCTTGAGGCGTTCAGCTTATTGTGACAGCTACTATACGTCCTTAGATTATCCTCGATAAGAAAAACAACTTGCAAGTGTTTATGTTTATACATCGGAATAATGTCACGTAGAAACTACTTTGATTTGAATACGTTCGACCCCTCGAAACAGAGGAACAAAACATTTAACTAGTAAGCTACAATCGACAAAAAGTTCTGAATATCATTATTATAATTCTTATTAAACAAAGACGTTTGTAGTTTCACATTTACGAGAAATTAGGATGACTCGTTCTTAATTTGATCAATAAAAAATATGAACGCTATGATGAATCACAAGTAAAAATTCATATTTTGCACATTTTGACTAGAATTTATTCTGCAAAATTTTGAGATAACGTCATCAATTTTTTGGGGGAAATAAACAGATTTATTTGGATTAACAGTTTACCATGCTTACAATGACTTTAAAACGTCTGCAAGATTTCAAAGTATTCAGTTTTGCAATTCTTGATTTAATCAATAAAATTAATTGACTCCGTCATTAATCTTTTTCAGACGTCCCGTGTAAGCAAATCTAATAAAAAATATTAATACAGTGATAAATCACAAGTATAGTATAGACTCATCATTCTTTATACATTTAAGATAGCATTTTTCAGCAAAATTTTGGGGTGGCGTCATCAATTTTTTAGGGGGGACGAGAAAATATATATATGAGCATATATTATACATATCGACTGTCAGTTCATCGTAGCTTTTTGATATGTTGTTGGAATGAAGTATTTTCAATACAGATCTACACCGTCTTGTAAAATTCGTGTTTGCGGTCAACTCGGCAACTTTTCATTTTTTCAGTTTTGTAGCAGCGAAGATACCCCAATCTGTAGCCTTTTCTTGAGTCTATAATAAAAAAATAAATAAATAAAAATTTATTGGTGGGTATCATTGTTGTATCACAAATCTATACTTCTATACTTATATAATAAAGCTGAAGCTTTTGTTTATTTGAACACGCATATCTCAGAAACTACTGGTTCAAATTCAAAAAATCTTTTTGTGTTGGATAGTCCATGTATCATATCTACATATAGGCTACATAACATCACGCTACGATCATTAGGAGCGAAGTAGCAATGAAAAATTCGGAAAAACGGGAAAATTATTCCTCCTTTGACAGCTTCCGTTGCTTACGCTGCTTAAACGGTTAAAGCTACGTAAAAATCATGTATGACGAAATTGTTCCCCTCTAAAAGTTCTAAAGAAAAGTCCGCGACAGCATATGTCTATCTTTTAAGGTCGAGTCAGTATAACCTTTTTTATGGTAATGAAATTTGTTCTAAAATAATAATGCATTATGTATAAAATTCTCGCGTCACAGTGTATGTAACCGAACTTCTCCGAAATGGGTTGACCGATTTGTATGAAATTTTTTATGTATATTCGGTAGGTCTGACAATAAGTTGTAAACTATTTTTTAAACCCCTAAGTGATAAGAGTGGCCCACCCTAAAAAATGTTTGTCTATTTTTTAGACAAAAATTTTTTTTTTATTTTTTTAAGATTTGACATCAAAAAATATACATAACCCTAAATTTTCACTGTTCTACCACCAACCCCCATTTTTTAATCGTCTATAAAATAAAAATCAATTGTTGTTCCTGTTAGTCTCGCTAAGACTCAAAAACGGCTTGACCGATTTGAAGAATTTTTTTATATTACGGGGATGGTTTATAAATAAAAAAAAATACGGATAACTTAAAAGAACAGTTAAAAAATAAAAAAATTCTAAAAATTTTGACTAACTGACGTGTCATACAAAAATAATTCTTCCGTACGATTTTGAAAAGTATATTGCATTTCAAATCGTTCTTTGTTTTTTCGTAAAAAAAAAAGTCGTTTATTTTAAGAAAAGTCTTGGTTAAAGTGAATTTAATTACACATTGCGAAAGTTTCTTATTCATTTTGATCTGCCATTCTTTTTACCTATATTCACTTTGTTGGTTTCGACAAAACCTCAAACTTTACCGTTATTCGAGGATTTAATTTGAAGTTTTCAATATTTTAAAATTCTCAAGACAAAATTTACAGATTTGATTGACTGTGAAAATAATTCTGTGTCGTTTTATGAAGTTCATTAAAATGCCGAGAAGACGACAAGCTGACATAGGTCCACGAAGTCAATCAAATGTGCGACGAACTACCTCAGGTGCAAACCGCAATGATTTATTTCATAGGTAATTCGGATATGGAAGTTGATCAGCGTTGTGCTCATAATCAACATAATCAAACATTGAAGCGAGACATTGGGTGGTATGAATAAAACTGAGTAGATATTCATATTCGAAGTACGAAGTACCTACTTCATTATTACTCTTATATACCTGAGCATCTACTCTATGTACTGAGTACCTACTTGGAAACATTGTATCTCCCCGGACACAAACTGAACATCTACGCGTTTTGTGAGCATTTAATCTAGAAATGAGCATCGGCGTGGCAAATAACTGAGCTGTCTGTAAAGCAGCTTAGAAAACCAGTAGGATCGTTGTAAGAGTGAATTTTAACTAAACATGGTGACTTTCATGAACGTGGAACGTCGTCAAAACGTGCATTCAGTTTGAAAAACACATTAGGAGCAGGAATATCGAAACTTTTCATTTTATTTATGCATAAATTGTGCAGTGCGTTTTTTCTAACACTGGCCATAGAGATTCCCATTTCAAGGTGTCTACCCCATGCTAACTTATATTTTGGTGATTCGATTTTTGCCTTGATGGTTGAACACTGTCACTGTTGTCCTTTTTTGTTGTATCGAGATGCTACTTGAGCATCAACTGTTACCTACTGAAGTATTAATATCATCTAGAAAAACTAGAAATATTTTGATTTGATATTCGAGTAGATACTTCGTATTTCGAGTAAGAGCATCTACTGAGTTTTATTTATATCAACCATTGTCAAAAAATTATCGAACGTTGTTTCGACAGAACTTCCTTCGCACAAAAAGTATAATGAAACCTATTCAGCATTTTCGAGTT